TAAAGTTAAAAAAAAAAAAAGAAATATGTGAATCTTTACAGATTTTTAAGCAAGTCAAAGTCTCATAGTCACGATTTAGGGAGACTAACTTGGGGATCTTGATGGAATGAAATGAAGGCCAGGAGGGTGCTGCTTTAGACCAGAGGGGCAGAAATAAAACATGGAGAGGAGAGGGAAGAACCAGGAAAGATGTTGAAGTTTGAATGAGAAACTTCTAACCTTGGCTTGAAGGATGAAGGGTGAGGGTGGGGAGTCTTCATCCATGGAAAATGAGTCTTCATTTGGTGTATTGAGTCTTCTGCATAGAGCCATAAGACTAAAACCTAGCGTAGAGATCAGTACCAGACCAGATGGGCTGTCATCTCAGTTAAGAGGTGGTGGCTCAGCCCTGAACAAGATTTCTGAACTCCTTCTATCACTTGTATCATGACCCCAGACAACTTGCTTAACCTCTTCGAACTGCATTCTTTTCATTTTCCAACTATCAAGAGTTTTGTGAAGAATAAATGTACTAATGGACGGATGTGTGTCTGAAGTTCAAGTTAGAGGTTTTACAAAATAGGTAATAATACTTATTTTTCTAATTACATCAAGCCATGTGAATGAATAAGATCTTGGAGGAAGACAGCAGAGACAGAGATCCCAGGGTTAAAACTTGGAGGAATTTCACAGCATATCATCCAAAAAGGGAGTCCGTGATGGAGGCAGAAGTAAACTTGAGGAGGTAAGAAACCTTGAAAATGGGGAGTGCTTTGGGGTGGGCTCTGTATGGAAGAAATTCAGCTGGTAAATACTCATCAGGAGCTTCCCTGGTGGCTCAGATGGTACTAAAAAAAATTTTTTTTAAATCATCTGCCTGCAATGTAGGAGACCTGGGTTCAATCCCTGGGTTGGGAAGGTCCCCTGGAGGAGGAAATGGCAACCCACTCCAGTATTCTTGCCTGAGAAATCCCAGGGACAGAGGAGCCTGGTGGGCTACAGTTCATGGGGTCACAAAGAGACAGGACTGAGCAACTAACACTTTCACTTCAAACACTCATCAAAAGTGTCCATCGAGAGTTCAGGAATGATAGCATGACTTTCAGAGTCAAGAGTCTACATGAAATGGAGAAAACATCCTTCTGCAGAGGTCACTCCTTTGACCTGGGAAACCCCCAGACACAGTGAAAAGGCCTGAAAGGTGACCACAGGGAACTTGAAATCCTGAAGAACTGTTTGACTCCATCCTGAAGAAGGAGCATGTTAACAAGAGAAGGGTAGGCAGCTTGGCCTGTTTTCCATCACTAGTTCGCAACCTCAGTTCACACCCTCCTCTTTCTTATCTGGCCTCCCTGCCTCACTCTTCGTTTCCCCTCTGCCCAAGCCCGTTTTCCATTTTGTTCCAAAACAAAAACCTGCTCCCGTCACTCATGTGCTCAGACCCCTTCCAGAGTTCCCCATTTCCCCAGGATAGAGGCGGTCTCCTTAGACAAAACCGCTAAGTCCCTCCCATGGCACCCTCTGCCCCAGTCAGACTTGGGCAGTTTCCCCAACCCACCAGAGGCTCTCATCGCTCCCTGTCCTCGCAAGGATGCTTCTCCTAGGATGCCCTGCCCTCTTGGGCTTACCCTGGACAGCCTTCCTTAAGTCCCAGCTGAGCTGGATAGCCCTGTGCGTACTCCTGTCACAACAGCCCTGGTCACGGCCCTGAGCAGTTGTCGATAGTCCATGACTTCTCATCTTTCTCTGACGGAAAGCCCCTTGAGAGCAGGGACGATCAGTGTCTCTTTTATCCGTACCGTCCCTCCCATACCATATTTTTTCCCAGACAAACCCTGATTTCAAGCAGTCTTTCTGGTTGTCAGTCCACTCGTTCCAGTTTAGGGTCTTCAAAACACACACCGGCTCTGTAACCCTGGCCAGGGCGGAAAGAGCCTGGTGGCGGGCGCCTTAGCCCGATCGCGCCACCGGCACCTCCCGGGGCGGCCGCCAGGGGGCGCCGGGCTCTTTGTTTTCTTTTCTGGCCCGGGGTCGGGGCCGGAGGCCCGCAGAGCGCATGCTCTGGGGCAGTTCGCGGCCGGGCCGGCGAGCGGAGGAGTTCCTTGTGGCGGACCTGCAGCGAGGTAGGTCGCGCTGGTCACGCACGGAGGGTCGGGGCGGAGGGCGGCGCGCGGGGCGGGCATAACGGCCCGAGCGCGGCCGGCCGGGGTTTTGCGCGCGGCCGCAGTGACCTCGGCGCCCGCGGTGCGTAGAGCCGCGCGCCTCCCGGGCCGGGGCAGGCGCCCCGGCGGTGCGGCGTTTCCGGAGCGGGAAAGTGATTTTAAAAAGTCCAGCACTGGTTTGGAGAATGCGGTTTGCGGAGCGGGGTGGGAATCCCTCCCGGCGAGGGTCGGCTGGAGGAGCTCGAGGGTAGGCTGCCGAGGGTCTGCGTAGGGAGCGAAATCTCAGCGTCAACAGGCACCGCCACGACTGTTGACCGGTGGCAGAGGTGTGCCGGGAACTCCGCATCAACGCATCTGTCAGCAGATTTAGTCGCTGGCGTTCTCCTCCGTGCCGCGCGTGCAGGGCTGGGGAAAATGGTGAAAGGGCCCCGGGTGGCCGTGATCAAGCTCCCAGCCTCCCCTGGGGAGGCCCATGTGGGGCCACAATTACTGTCCAGGATGATCCGTAAGGTGTGCCCATGGAGCCGGGGCGCTCGCCGCTCCTGGCGGTTCTTAACCAAGGTGCTCCAAGTGTTACTTGAGTGCCTATAGCAGAAGGCGAGTGTAGGGAGTGTGGATGGGGAACTCGGACGTTCACCCAAGCCTGGGCAGGAGGATGAGGGATGGCTTTCCAGCCGAGGTGACTCTTGGCAAGGGTTTTGAAGGAACAGAGGAGTTATTCAGGTGGACCGAGGGTGGAGGGTTTCTGGCGGTCCAGGCAGGGAACACAGCACGTGCAAACGCAGGAAGGCGTGTGTGAGTGTTGTCATCAGAGGTACCACGGTGTTTTTAAGTCTGACTGGCGTACAGGGTACCGGGAGAGGAAGAGCAAGATGATTGAGCAGGGGCTGGGTCTCCGGGGGTCTGGAGTGCTGGTGCTGGCTGGGGCGGAGAAGGCAGCGACGGTTTTACCCAAGAAGGACATCACAGTGGAGTCTGGAAAGGTAAACTAGGAGTTCTCCATGCTCTTGTTGGGAAGCCATCCCAAGAGCAGGAATCCTGTTCAGCTTTGCAACTTCCTAGTTGGCTGTCCCTGGGCCATCCACCTAATCCCCCTGGGCCTTGTCCTTACCTGTAAGATGAAGATAAGAGAGTTACTAGTATCCTGTAAAGTTGTGGTTCTAACACCTGGGGTAAGGTGTAGCCTCATTCTGCTGGAATAAATGAATGCACTTAAGCCTAGGCTCCCCTCTGTATTTTTGGGCTTCCGTGGTAGCTCCGTTGGTTAAGAATCTGCCTGTGATGGAGGAGACCCAGGTTTGATCCCTGGATGGGCAAGATCCCCTAGAGAAGGAAATGGCAGCCCACTCCAGTATTCTTGCCTGGAAAATCCCATGGACGGAGGAGTCTGGCAGGCTACAGTCCATGGGATCACCAAGAGTCAGACACGACTCAGCAACTTAAACCACCACCACCTCCTCTGTATTGAAGGGGGATCCTGGTAATGATCTCTTGGGTGAGGTCTCCAGCTCTGTGCCTGACATCAGGCAGGAAGGAGTTGCTCCCCCAGTGTTTGTTGACAGACAAACAGAACCTCGATCCTCCCTTCCCTCCCAGGGGACTTTCCTCACAAAGAGATTCTTCAGCCCTTGCGTCTGGCAAGTGTCTGCCTCCTGACATTGGGGTGACTGGGTGGGGACAGCTGCTGTGGTTGGAGAGAGCGCCGTCTCCCTTTGCAGAGATGAGGTCACAGGGGGTCACAGCAGGAACACAAGGGCCCCGATAGACTGTCTAGTCTACCAAATGAAGAAACAGGCCCAGGGAGAAGAGGGGATGGGGGATGCTCTGGTCCTGGTTGGGAGTTGTCGGCAGACCTAGGCTGTCATCCCCTGAGCCTTCACTTTCGTGTCTGTAAAGCCAGGATGATCACACCTCTGAGGGCAGAGTGTGAGTATTCCAGGATTGACTGGCACACGTTGTTCAGTCCCTAAGTCATGTCCGACTCTGTAACCCCATGGATTGCAGCACGCCAAGCTCCTCTGTCCTCCGCCATCTCCCAGTTTGCTCACATTCATTTCCATTGAGTCCGTGTTGCTATCTAACCATCTCATCCTCTGCTGCCCTCTTCTCCTCCTGCCTTCAGTCTTTCCCAACATCAGAATCTTTTCCAGTGAGCCGGCTCTTTGCATTGGGTGCCCAAAGTATTGGAGCTTCAGCTTCAGCATCAGTCCTTCCAATGAATATTCAGGGTTGATCTCCTTTATGATTGACTGGTTTGATCTCCTTGTAGTCCACAGGACTCTCGAGGGTCTTCTTCAGCACCATAATTCGAAAGCATCAGTTCTTCACCTTAGGAGTCTGTTAGTGGAAGTTGACTCTGTATCTGACTTATTGAGATTGTATCACATGCTTCTTCCAGACTGAACTCCTTGAAGATGGAAGCTGTGTTTGTAGGGGAGTGGGGGGTGGGGACAAGACTAGAACTTATACCCAGCCCAGACTCTCGATGTCTAGTTAAGAAAACACACCCAGGGACTTCCCTGGTGGTCCAGTGGTTAAGATGCCACATTTCCATTGTAGAGGGCACAGGTTCAATCCCTGGTCAAGGAACTAAGAAAAATAAAATAAATAAATAAATAAAACACACCCAGAGTGGTTAGAGAGGAAGTCTGTTCAAAGGACTGATTTGTGCAGTAGAAAACATGCATGTGGGTCATGGGTACAGGGCTCTACCTTTTAGAAGGTGCCCCCTCATCCCCTGCATTGCCTCTGGGATTGCTCATAGACACTGCAGTGCCTGGAGTCCTCCCTTTGAGAGACGAAGACTCTCAAGTTCAGAGGGGACTCAGTGGGCTGGACTTGAGAGCCAGCGCGCTCTGCACCGCGGCGTGGAGCTGTGCTTGTGGTCGGTCCTTCCACGCGTGATTCAGCAGATCTGCCGCCCACTTGGCCCACTCTCCCAGGCCCTCACTGCTTCCGTGTCTCCCCTTTGCTCTCACTCACTGTCTTCTCCCTTTCAGCAGGCTCCCACCCTCCGCTCCTTGCCTTTGGCCAGTTTCGTAGGGAATCCTGGGGAGCCCTGTCCAGGCTGCCTCGATCACTGCCTGGATCACGACCTGCCTTTAGCCAACTGTTCTTTTGCTTTTAGTTATGAGATATGCCTGGATTCCATTCCTGGCTTTCTTTTCCAGCTGTGCCAGCTTAAACAAGTAAATCTACTTCTCTGCGCCCCACTTCCCTCAGCTGTTAAATAAGAGTGACAGAGCCCTCTTCAGCTTGTTGCAAGAAGTTCAAGGTTGTTAGAAGGTAGGTGTGGCCAGTGCCCCAGAGAGACTCATCTGAAGAAGCAGATTGGTTAAATGATTATGATCCAAAGTCTGTCCTAATTTCTCAGAGATAATGATTCCTTTAGGATTGAGAGAGGGATCTGAGGTAGCGTACCAATGGAGGCAACTTTGAGTAGAAGTTCTTGCAGTAGGATAGGGCTGGAGTGGGATGGAGATGCACTTGGTATGGAGAGAAGAGTAAGCAGTCTAAGATTATTAGAAGGGAGGGTGTGACAGATAAGGTGAGGTCGGAAGTTGTGTCAGTACCAGACCCTGGAGGTCTTTTTAAAAAGATCATGAGTGTCTAGCAGCATAACATGGTTTTTTTTTTTTTTTTTTTTGGTTAATGATCCATGACAGCGAATACCTCCTATAACCTTTGTTTTTCTGTCTCCACTCCAGGCCTTTCCCATAGGTCAACCCAACAGCAGCACTGATGTGCTGATACCATTCTGTTTCCTGTTTTGTTTTGTTTTTTCACTTAATTTCTTGTGAGTACTCTTCCAAGCTCCTTCTTAGTCTCCCTCCCCAACAGAGCTGACAGCTGCAGGTCATTCTGATGAGTTGACCGGGAAATATGCCTTTGGCGGAACAGGGCCCCAGAACCAGTGAACCGCGGCCAACCTGGCCAAGGGTTAGGAGCTGTTTACTGGAAAGAGTGGGTCCCTGGTGTATCCCACACTCCTTAACCTATCCAGCTCTGCCACCTTAACATCCCTTCTCTGTCAGCTCCCGCACACTTCACACTTGACAAACCGCCTGGCGAGGCGGGCCTCCCAGTCTCTCCTGTCAGTCTGTCCCCCAGTCTTCTCAGTAACTGAAGTCTACCATCTACCTAGTTACTTAAGCAAAGCCTGAGAGTCCTTGTGTTGGGCCAAGTTCATAGGGGGATCAAGGGGGCCCTGCCCAGGATCCCCTGGATATTTTAGGATGAAGAAGTCATTCTGAGTTCCTCCCCCACCCTCATTCCTACATCTAATCCACTGGCAAAGCAGGCCTGTCTCCTAAATTGTGTACTTTTCTTTGTTGCCTCAGACTAAATCATGTCACCAACTTCTCTCATTTGGATGCCTGCAATCGCCTCCTCTTCCAGTCCCTTCCAGAACAATTGTTAATGAGACAGTCTTCTTAACACTTGTCTGTTTTCCCTACTAGGCCTTGTACGACCTGTTCCCTGCTCCCCTTGTGCCTCTGATCCATCACTGTCCAGCTACAGCCCTGCTGGCCTCCCCAGGTTCCTGAGCACATCACATGCTTTTGTCCAGGCCTTCCCCTGCTGGCTTTCTCTGCCTAGTATTTCAAGTCTTAGCCCAGATGTCACCTATCTGACCTATATCTCCTCCCCTATCCCAGTTACTCTCTTTTTTTTTTTAATTGTGATAAACTATACTTAACATAAAACTTACCATTGTAGCCATTTTTAACTGTACATGGTTCAGTGGCATTAAATACATTTACATTGTTGTGTCCCTGGAATATTCCTACTATATCACCTTGCCTATTCATCACACCACACTGAATGTAATCATACTCTGTCTATGTGTGTGTGTGTTTCTGTCTGTAAGCTCCATGAGAGCAGGAAGAGGGTTAGTTGCCTTTTTCCTTGCTACCCCTGGCCCAAAGCCAAGCAGTGGTAGCAAGCATTCATGGAAAGATTGAGTCCATGCTGCACTGCAAAACCCTTTACAGACATTTCATTCTGTCTGGACAGCAGCCCTCGAAGTGGTCATTGCATCCCTCTTACATGAGGATTCACACAGTTCACAGAGGCTAGAACTGCCAGAGAGGTCAAACATGATCGCACAAGCAGGGTTGAGCAAACCACAGCTCTGTCCCTGATGCGAAGAACTGACTCACTGGAAAAGACCCTGATGCTGGGAAAGATTGAAGGCAGGAGAAGGGGACGACAGAGGATGAGATGGTTGGATGGCATCACTGACTCAATAGACATGAGTTTGAGTAAGTTCTGGGAGTTGATAATGAGCAGGGAAGCCTGGCGTGCTACAGTCCATGGGGTTGCAAAGAGTTGGACATGACTGCAAACTGAACTGATCCCAGTGAAGGTGCATTTCTAGTGTGGGAAGACGGGTCTCAAAGAGGCCGGTTGGAGGCGAGGAGTGCCGCCCTCGGAGAATGAAAGTTGCGTGAAACACAGAACTGCCACCTCAACAAACTCAAAACTGGGCCAGTATCAGCCTGCAGAAGCTCAACCTGCAGAGGCTCAGCCCACACAGCCTTGGGGTATTCCAGGCATTTGGCTACTTCCTTGTCTTCGGCACTTTGTTGTCCTCCCCCAGGGTAGCCAGCAGAAATGTGCCTGGAGGTTCCAGGCTGTTGACCTCCTGTTCATACACCGTGGAACAGGGAGCTGGAGAGGCTGAGGCTCTAGGACCTACTGGAAGGAAGGAAGGATGAGGTGCTATTTAGGCCCACAGTAGAGCCTAAGAAGGGTTGTTAGAATTCTCTTGCTATTTATAGCCTTGGTTAAAGTCTCCATCCCTTTTCTATAAAATGGAGGAGAGGTGGTTAGATTAGATTAGCTGTGCCTAAGCATCACCTGGAACAGACCCTAGATGTTTAAACACAAGCATTGATTATTGAGCCCCTACCCTACCCTGTAATTGTATGTGTGCATGCTAAGTTGCTTCAGTCATGTCTGATTCTTTGCGACCCTATGGACTGTAGCCCGCCAGGCTCCTTTGTCCATGGGATTCTCCAGGCAAGAATACTGTAGTGGGTTGCCATGCCCTCCTCCAGTTGATCTTCCCGACCCAGAGATCGAACCACCCTGTAATTACTTTTACAGTATTAGCTCATTTAGTCATAGTCATAACAAGGTGTAGGTACTATTGTTGTTCAGTTGCTCAGTCATGTCTCTTTGCAGCCCCATGGACTGCAGCACACCCGGCTCCTCTGTCCTCCACTATCTCTTGGAGTTTGCTGAAATTCATGTCCATTGAGTCAGTGACACCACCCTTATGGCAGAAAGCGAAGAAGAACTAAAGAGCCTCTTGATGAAAGTGAAAGAGAAGAGTGGAAATGTTGGCTTAAAGCTCAGCATTCAGAAAACTAAGATCATGGCATCTGGTCCCATCACTTCATGGCAAATAGATGTGGAAACAGTGGCAGACTTTATTTTGGGAGCTCCAAAATCACTGCAGATGGTGACTGCAGCCATGAAGTTAAAAGACGTTTACTCCTTGGAAGAAAAGTTATGACCAACCTAGACAGCATATTAAAAAGCAGAGACATTACTTTGCCAACAAAGGTCCATCTAGTCAAGGCTATGGTTTTTCCAGTAGTCATGTATGGATGTGAGAGTTGGACTATAAAGAAAGCTGAACGCTGAAGAATTGATGCTTTTGAACTGTTGTGTTGGAGAAGACTCTTGAGAGTCCCTTGGACTGCAAGGAGATCCAGCCAGTCCATCCTAAAAGAAATCAGTCCTGAATATTCATTGGGAGGACTGATGTTGAAGCTGAAACTCCAGTACTTTGGCCACCTGATGTGAAGAGCTGACTTATTTGAAAAGACCCTGATGCTAGGAAAGATTGTAGGTGGGAGGAGAAGGGGACGGCAGAGGATGAGATGGTTGGTTAGGTGGCATCACTGACTCTATGGACATGAGTTTGAGTAAGCTCCAGGAGTTGGTGATGGACAGGGAAGCCTGGCGTGCTGCAGTCCATGGTGTTGCAAAGAGATGGACACAAGTGAACAACTGAACTGAACTGAGTCAGTGATGCTATCTAACCATCTCATCCTCTCCTGCCCCCTTCTCCTTTTGCCTTCAATCTTTTCCAGCATCAGGGCCTTTCATTTCATGGCAGCACTCACCATCCACAGTGATTTTGAGTAATTACTATCCCCATTTTACTGAGGCGGAAACTAAATGGTGAAGAGACTAAGTAACTTTGTCCAAGGTCAAAACAGCCAGAAAGTAGCTGAGTACATAGATAGCCTGGCTCCTCTTAACCACCACTTGCTCTACCACTTTTGCATCTGGATAGCAGCAAATTGCCTGGGCCCTGCTATCGATTTCAAACGGATCACAGAGTTTGGGAGCCTTAAGGCTTAGACAGCCGTCTTTCATAACCTTTAAAACCAGGGCTCAGTAAGGATTTCTTTCAGAAACTGCTTATGTAGAGGAAAAAGGGCTTTTGACCCAATTTGGGCTGGGTTGAAATTGAGACAGTAGGGCAGAGAGTCTGTTCTCAGCAGCCTTGAGAAGGCAACAGCAGTTCGTTGAAGCAAGGAGGGAGGCAGCACTGACGGCTCAGCTGCCCTGGATCCTGCGAGCTGCCACAACCCTTCATGTCACCCAGAGGTGATTTCCTTTCCCCCTTTTGTAACACCAGGTGTTTGTATGTTAGTGTGAGTGTATATACAATGTTTTTCTCTTGTTGGATGGGTTTAAAAGAAAGCCAGGTTCCTCCTAGGAGTGGTGGCATTTTGGATCAAAGGGCACAGATGGTTTTGTTTTTTTAATTTATTTGAATTTTGGCTATGCTGGGTTTTCATTACTGCCTATGGGCTTTCTCTAGTTGCAGTGAGTCTGGGCTACTCTGTTGCGGTGCCTGGGCTTCTTATTGCAGTGGTTTCTCGTGAGCGTGGGCTCTTGGGCATGCAGGCAGAGTAGTTGTGGTGCATGGGCTTAGTTGCCACAGCATGTGGAGTCTTCCCGGACCAGGGATCAAACCTCTGTCCCCTGCATTGGCAGGTAGGTTCCTAACGACTGGACTGCGGTTGAGAAAGTCGTCTGGTTTGGTTTTATTTAATGAAAATATAGCTGTGAGTGTGTGTTTGTGTGGTCTGATTATAACAGTAATGTATCACCAGACTTACTAGTGGTTATGTTGGGGTTGGGTGGAGTTGTGATGTTCATTGAATGTTCTTCAGTGTTTTAATTTTTTAATAATAAAATTTAAAAATACATGTCATGGTGTTTGTATCTTAGATTAAGATATAAAGAAAAAAGTAAAAGTTGTCCATGATCTCACTTTCCAGAGGTTACCATTATTAATACTGAATGTATTTCCTTCCACATATTTTTATATGTGTATGCTTTTTCTTTGCCACAAGTAGGATGATGGCCTGTTTTTCAGTCTGCTTATGTTACTTGGCAATGATTCAGTAAATAAATCTCTGAAAACATCACTTTTAATGGCTTCATACTGTTTTATCATCAGTATGCCACATATTTAGCCAATCCCCTACTCCTAAGTACATGGGTTGTTCCATTTTTTGTTGTTTTTGTTTTTTTAATGTTACGAAGAATACAGTAGAGAATATTAGTAGAATTTAATATTTGGTTTATTTATTATTTGGTTCTTCTCAGGTAAATTCCGAGAAGTGGAATTGCTAGGCATTTCTTTTCACTTTTTTAAGGGTTTTTGATAAATATTGCCTGAATAGTGCCATTTCTGACATGGAGTCTTTGCCTGGGTTTTTCAGGACAAGAAGATGCCACCCAAGCGTATAGCTAAGAGAAGGTCTCCCCCAGAAGATGCCCTCCCCAAAAGCAAGAAGGTGAAGGGTAAGTTGGCCCTTAGTATGGGTGGCCTCTTGGCATCCCCAGAATCTGGTACTGGGCTCCTTCCTCCCTGAGATTTGAAGCCAAGGGGCCAGAAAGTCCAGGAACTCCACCCACCATGAGGGTCTCCTGTAGCTCACTGATTCCCACCCTCTGGGAATGATAAAAGGGCAGAGACTTGCTTAAAAGCCCTCAGTGAAAAACTAGACCCTAAGGCTTTGCCCTAGGCAGTAATGCCTAGTTAAGACCATTGACCTCCAGACTGGGTTCACTCCTGGCTCTGCCACTTTCTAGCTGTATAGCTGTGGCAAATCACTAACCTCACTGAACTTAGAATACCCCATTCATAAACGGGCAACCTCACCAGGCTGCCATGAGGAAAATGAGCTCGTGTCCTGGTTAGCATTCGAGAGACAGACATGCCTTTGGTCTCCTCTCTGCGGGGACCCTGGAGGGAGTCAGGGAGCAGAGCCACCCCAAGTCTGGGAGGGTGGGGGGAGTGTGGACCCACACTCAGACAGTGTCTGTCTTTTGCAGACCCTCGTAACCAGGCAGTGAGGGCCGTTGCCTCCCGCCGTGTTCCAGGCGCCCGCTCCTGCCAAGGTGCCTGCGGGCTGTGCCCTTCTGACCAGAAGGCCCGACCAGGTGGCTGCCTGCCCAGAGCGCCCTCTGCGCAGCTGCAGCCGACCTGGCAGCCGTGGCCACACCCCCAGGGGGAGGGGATGGACGCCATTGGCTGTCCGGGGTGCTGGTGGCCCCGCCCCCCATCGGCCAGTTGATGGCCCAGCGCCGCACGCTGATAGGCGCGTACCTCTTCGCAAATGCTTGTATGGTCTCTTACTCCTCCCTTTCCTCTTCAGCTGCAAGTCTGCTCCCCAATGGAGCTGGAGTGGGGGTCAGTGTGCCTATGTCCAGTGGTTAAGTCACAGCCTGAGGATGGAGACTAAGGACTGTGCTCTGACCATGTAGGCCTCCTCGGTTTGGTTTCACTGCAAACTCTACTCGTTATTAGCTCTTATGACCCTCTCTGAGGCTCTGTTCTCCTTTTGTATAAAATGGGAGCCTGAAATGGAAGGCCTATAGCATAATGTGTGGGGCTGCAAATCAATTTAACATTCGTAGAGTAAGCAGTGTTAGATGTTATTATGCCCTCTCTGTTAGTTGGTTCCTGACCAAGAACAGACAATCAGAAAAGCTATCTTGTGCCCTGCTTCCCCTCCCCACCTGGATTTTTTTCTCTTTATCAAGTATATTACTGCCATTTCTTTCCATTCACATTAATCATGTGCTTAGGTGGGCACTTTCCTGGTAGTCTAGTGGCTAAGACTCTGTGCTCCCAGTGCAGGAAGCCAGGGTTCCATTCCTCATCAGGGAACTCGATCCCACAGGCCACAACTAAGGACCCTGCATGTTGCACTGGGACCGAGCATAGCCAAATAATTAAATACAGATTTTAAAAAAAAATGGGCTGGGGTTTTTTGATTTTTAATTTAAAATTAAAGTTTATTTCATGTGAGTCATATTTTAAAGTCTTCATTGAATTTGTTTCAGTATTTGTTTCAGTATTTCATGAGGCATGTTGGATCTTAGTTCCCCCACCAGGGATTGAACCTACACACCCCTCTATTGGAAGGGTCTTAACCACTGGACCGCCAGGGAAGTCTCTGATGTGCTCAGTTTTTAATCTTCACAAACATTCTATGAGATAGGTTCTTTTCTTACCCTCGTTTCACAGATGAGGACGCTTAGACTTGGAGAAGTCTGACCAGTGTTCTGTGGCAGGGCACAGATTTGAACCCAGGTCTGTGTTATCCCACAGCCTGTGCAGCAGCCTCTCCTCTCTCTTGTCATCCTGCACACTTAGGGGCTATCTTCTTTACCCCTCAGTCTCCCATAGGTCCCACGGCACAGAACCAGGTATGGTGCTGACGCTGGGCCAGGGCGACGTGGGCCAGCTGGGGCTGGGCGAGAATGTGATGGAGAGGAAGAAGCCAGCCCTAGTGTCCATTCCAGAAGACATCGTGCAGGCTGAGGCTGGGGGCATGCACACTGTGTGCCTAAGCAAAAGTGGCCAGGTAGGTCAGGGTGGCGCCAGATGGGACAGGACCTGGGACTGGGGGGCCCGGGGAAGGAGCTCTGAACCATATGCATTACTCTGTAGAGATGGAGCTGGCTAGATAAGCAGGGTGTGGCCTAGACATGAAGATACTGAGAGGCCAGACCTCACACTAACAGGGGCATCCTCTGCACAGGTCTACTCCTTCGGCTGCAATGACGAGGGTGCTCTGGGAAGGGATACGTCAGTGGAGGGCTCAGAGATGGTCCCTGGGAAAGTGGACCTGCAAGAGAAGGTGGTACAGGTGTCAGCAGGAGACAGTCACACAGCAGCCCTCACCGAGGATGGCCGTGTCTTCCTCTGGGGCTCCTTCCGGGTAAGACTGGGTCTGGAGGATGGCTGTGGAGCTGGTAAGCAGAATTAAATATAGCTGGTGGGGCCCCATCTCCATGCCCTTGTTGTACTTGTGGAGAGATTGACACCCTGGGAAGAGCTTGGACCCAGACCCAGGTTTCTGGTTCTTCATCCAGGCCTGTGCACACTACTGACTGTTCCTATGAATCTGATGTTATGATGTTGTGTCACGGAAAAGGGGTGGGTCAGGGATACCTTTGGTCTTTGGCTGAGCCAAGAAACCTGCTGACCCATCTCCTCCCTTTTAACCTCCCCCCTCCCCTTCCCAGTCTCCTTCCACACTTCTCAGAGGCATATCTCAGAATTTTCAAGACAGGAGAGTGTGGTTTAAACAGCAGATTCAGCATTAAAATTGTTTTGGAACTTTGTTATTCAATTTATTTTGAAATGTCAGAAATAAAGGAATCTGATATTTCCTCGTTGGAACTCTTTTAACACTTTTTAATGGAGAATTTCAAACATGTAAGAGTAATCAGAATGCTGTTTTGAACTCTTATTTACTTGCCTGAACAATTATCAGCTTATGACCAAACTTGATTTTCACTACCTTCCATTCCCCAACTCCTTTGTGATATTTTAATGCAAATCACAGACCACATATGATTTCACTCATGAGTATTTCACTATGTGGCCTAGCTCCTGCCCCCCTGTCCATCCTCAGCTGGCACCAGTGCCCTTCCCCACACAGCTCTGGGGGTGCCTGCAAAGCTGGATCTGGCTGGTATGAGACAGGCAGGGCTGGCTGAAAACTGACCGCCCTTCCTTCCAGGACAATAACGGTGTGATCGGGCTCTTGGAGCCCATGAAAAAGAGCATGGTGCCTGTGCAGGTTCAGCTGAGTGTGCCCGTGGTGAAGGTGGCCTCAGGTGAGTCTGGGTTCTCACTCTGGGCAGGAGTTGGAGAACCTTCTTCTGGGTCTGGCCCAGCCTTGGGCCTTACAGCCAAGCCCAGCATCCCCTGCTTTCTTCTCACCCTCAGGAAACGACCACTTGGTGATGCTGACAGTTGATGGCGACCTCTATACTTTGGGCTCCGGGGAGCAGGGCCAGCTGGGCCGCGTACCTGAATTATTTGCCAATCGTGGTGGCCGTCAGGGCCTTGGTAGGTGTTTGTTTGTTTTTAATTTATTTTTGTCTGTGCTAGGTCTTCATTGCTGCATGTGCTTTTCTCTGGTGTGACAAGCGGGGGCTACTCTCTAGTCGTGGCACTCAGCTTCTCATTACAGTGGCTTCTCTTGTTGTGGAGCACAGGCTCAAGGGCACGCAGGCTTCAGTAGTCATAGCTCATGGGCTCAGTTGTGGTTCCGAAGCTCTAGAGCACAGGCTCAGTAGTTGTGGCTCATGAGCTTACTGCATGTGGGATCTTCTGGGATCAGGGATTGAACCCAAGCTTCCTGCACTGGCAGGCAGATTCTTTACCACTGAGCCACCAGGGAAGCCCTTTGGTAGGTGTTTTGCTGATTTAGTTTCAGTTTAAGTTCAAAGGATTCATTAACAAAAGAAACCACTCATCACACACAAACAAAATACTGTTGGTTTCACCTATGCGTCATAAGATTTCGTCTGACCTCAGGGCGTTGGCCAGACCTCCAGGGGCTTAAGAAATTCCTGGACCCACTCCCTTTCTTAAGTGCCACTTGACTTACTGGTGACAGTTGGTGTGTTCACAAGTAGGTATGTAGTCCAAGCAGGGTCCAGGCAAGGTCAGATGTCGATCAGAGGCCTGCTCCCTACTTCTGAAGCCTGAACAAGACTACCTCCATTTTAATTTCCCTAACAGTAGGTAGCTTAGGTACCTCTGGTGGGGCAAGTTGGCAAGCCACCCCCTGCTGAAGGTCAAAGGCAGAAGGGATTTTCTTGTGTTCAGGCTTGCATCAGGTGGACCTGCAGTGATAGTTAAGGAATCCCCAGACTACCTCAGAGTTGAATCTTGGCTCTACCCATTACTGGCCGTGTGCCCCCAGACACAGTTTCCTCATCTCTAAACTACCTGCCTCAGTGGGTTGTTGTGAAGTGAACTGAGTTCATATAGAAGGCTGTCTGACACACAGTAAGTTCCATGTAAACGTTACCTCTCTGGCTGTGGGAGTCTGAGTGAGGCACCTGGCCTCTGTTGGCCTCAGTTTCCTCTTCTGTATTCTACGGAGAAGAGTCCTTGCTTGGGCTCCCTGCAAGGGCTTCAGCAGTGAAGGAGACACAATGGGGCAGAGAGGAGAGGCCATGTGTGTGCCGCTGACCCTGACCTCTCTGCCTGCAGAACGACTCCTGGTTCCCAAGTGTGTGATGCTGAAATCCAGGGGAAGCCGGGGCCATGTCAGATTCCAGGATGCCTTCTGCGGTGCCTACTTCACCTTCGCCATCTCCTCTGAGGGCCACGTATATGGCTTCGGCCTCTCCAACTACCATCAACTTGGTGAGTTCCAAGCCCATCATCCAGCGTAGTCCAGAGTGACTTGGGTTGCAGTCCTGCCTCCACCACTCATTCATTGTGCCCCCTCCGTGTGAGGGTCACCTAACCTCTCAGAGCCTCAGTTGTTGTTGTTTTTAATATTTATGTATTTATGTTTGGTTGTGCTGGGTCTTCGTTGCTGCACTGTGGCTTTTTCTAGTTGTGATGAGCGGATGTGATGAGGAAGGGGATGAAGAAGGCAATTCCTTGGACAGTGTCACCCTTGACACCCCCATCCTGGCCTTTCCTCCCTAGGAACCCAAGGCACAGAATCTTGTTTTATACCTCAGAACCTAACATCCTTCAAGAACTCCACCAAGTCCTGGGTGGGCTTCTCTGGGGGCCAGCACCATACAGTCTGCATGGATTCAGAAGGTAGGGGGGTCTCGATCCATCTCTGGGGTGGGGGTGGAGTGTTCCCTGGGCACAGGCCTGGCCCCACTCCGTAAACAGCGGTGCTTGGAACCTGGGCCTGCTGCATGGATTGGGCTAATTGTGGGTCCATGAGGGTCACCCCACTTGCCAGTATCCTGGTGAGTCTTCCACCTGGGAGTTCAGTGGGGACCTGTGGAGGTTCTCCCAGGCCTCCCTCCACACTGAAAGAGACACTGCAGATCTCCTCACCACCTGGGATTGAGGGACCCACTCCCATGGATGTCGGTGCTCACCTGGCCTACGTGGAGCATGCCCTCCTATTCTTCGTCCCTCTCCCGCCTCCCACAGGAAAAGCATACAGCCTGGGCCGGGCTGAGTATGGGCGGCTGGGCCTTGGGGAAGGTGCTGAGGAGAAGAGCGTACCCACCCTCATCTCCAGGCTGCCCACGGTCTCCTCAGTGGCTTGTGGAGCCTCTGTGGGGTATGCTGTGACCAAGGATGGTGAGTGGGACTGCCCACAGTCAGTCTGGTTGGGGTCTGGGGGTCATGATTCTTAACCACAGTGCCTAGCAGGCTCCGTTTCCCACCATTCGATGGAACTGAGATGTGGAGAGCAGTATTTGTGATGATGTTATTCTTGTCTTGATTGTTAGAAGCTCTGGCTTCGATGACATAAAGTGGGTAAACACATTATTAAAATTATTTTAATGTGTTGTAGCCAAGGGGATATATTAATTACTGAGGCCAAGATAGGCAAGGCTTCCCAGGTGGCTCAGTGGTAAAGATTCTACCTGCCAACGCAGGAGATACAGGAGTCATGGGTTCGATCCCTGGCTGGGGAAGATCCCTTGGAGGAGGAAATGGCAATGCACTCCAGTATTCTTGCCTGGAAAATCCATGGACAGAGGAGCCTGGCAGGTCACAGTCCATGGAGTCAGGAAGAGTCAGATACAACTGAACACACAGGCAAGAACAGGCAGAAGGACTGGAACCCAGGTCTCCAGACTCCTAACACAGGCATGCATTCACATTTTATACCTTGGTGACCCTTTTTATATACAACCTAGTAACTGCCAGCTTCCCAGGGAGTTGTACTTACAATATCATTAGGAGAAAGAAAGCTTAGTAGTTGGGGTCCTGGCAAGCACAGCAGAGGAGGGTGTGGACAAGTGGTCGCCAAAGCCTGGGGGAACAGACTTGGAGGCCTTGAGAAAGCAGGCTGGCAGAGGTGCTTGATCCGGGACTATCTGGAAAGAGTTCCTGAGGAAGTGGGGCTTTTACTGCACCTTGAAGGTTTAGTCCTTAATGGTGAGAAAAGGAGAACGTCCAGAATAGTCTCAAAGGCAGGTGGTTCAGGGAATGGAGGTGATGTAAGGGTTTGGGGAATGACCAGTCATTGTCAGGCCTTGAACGCTCTGCCTGGGAGCAGGGAGAAGTCTCTGTCGATGCATAACAGCTGTGGTCTCTGGTTGACAAAGCTCTTTTTTGTCCATCATCTCCTTGCCTCCTCCCAGCTTCTCTGAGGCTGGGACATTGCCAGGCTGCCTCAGGCCAACCCCAGAAGGCACCCTCATGTCCCAGGCTTCTGACCCTGCAGAAAGCTGGGGATGGGGATCCTCGAGACAGCTGCCCCTGTTTCTCTCCCCTGTAGGTCGTGTTTTTGCCTGGGGCATGGGCACCAACTACCAGCTGGGCACGGGACAGGATGAAGATGCCTGGAGCCCCGTGGAGATGACAGGCAAACAGCTGGAGAACCGTGTGGTCTTAACTGTGTCCAGCGGGGGCCAGCACACAGTCTTACTAGTCAAGGACAAGGAACAGAGCTGGTGAAGCCTCTGAGGGCCTGGTTCCTGGCCACCCTCCAACTTCCCTCTTGGAACAGGGAAGCCGTGACGACTGTGTGCTCCAGCAGGCCTCTCCCAGCCCCAAGTACTCTGTCACCTCCTGCCTTTTCCTCATCAGAACAGAACCCTTCTCCCCTTTGTGCCCCCCTCTTTTCTGGAATCATCCTGGGACCTACAGGATGAGGGTGGGATAGATGGAAGAGAGGAGAGGGGTTTTTATCAGAAGGAACATTGCTCACCCCACAGCCATGCGGTCAGACCTTCCCCCTCATCCCTACTTCCCATGGTCCTGGCTGACCCTGGGTTTGCTTCTCCAAAACCAAAACTTCCTCCCCTGCGTGTTGGGTGCCCATATACGCTGAGAAGTCGGGCTCCATCGAGCCCTGCTCTAGTCCTCTGCCACTCTTCCCGTCCTTCCCGACCCACAGGCGGACACGTGGTACAGTCAGACCCAGCTGTCATGGACCTATGCCTGGGGGAAACTGGAGAAGGGGCAGGGCTACCCAGCCACGGGCAACCCCAAGCCAAATATTTGGCCCTGAACAGGTGCCCATGGGGCAAAAACAAAAACAAGGCTCCTCCGCTTGATCAAGAAAAAAGCCAATCAGCCTTTCTCCCAGAAGCACAAAGCATTCTGTCCTTTAGGCCTTGTCTGCAGTCTCCCTCATCCAGCCTGCCTCACCTGCAGCCAAGGGCCTGAAATCTGGAAAGGTAGCTGTGCCTGCAGGGCAAGACTTGCGGGGAGAGGGGAAGGAGGGCTTTATAAACAAACCTACAGCAATATTGAGAGTGAAGGGAGGGAAGGGGAAGAGGGCTGGAGGGGTAGAGGCTGGTCCCCAGAAAGGGAAACAGCAGCTTGTACAGTGGCTGAAAAAACAGGAAAGGGTTTTGATTTTCTTTTTTTTTAAATGTAAAGTATTTTGGAGGGGAGAGTGAAATCTTTTAACACTTTGAATAAATTTAGAGTTTTATAAAACAGGCCACTTATTTTCTACGAACTCCCTGCTTTTTTAAACGGGAGCACCTGCTGTGTTGGGAAGGGCAAAATGACCCCATGCCTGTAGACCTGGGGAAGACTAGGACTTCAGTGATGTCAAGAAGTCCTGGTATGTGCCAGCTGTTCATTTTTTGTTGTTGTTTTGTTTTTGTTTTTTGTATGGAACAGTGGCTGTTCTAGACAAATCAAAAAGAGTTGATTGGTTTTTGTTAGGTATTTATGTTTCAAGAATCACTGGGTTTTTAAAAAATTATATTGTACAGTATGTGAGACATGGGATGGACCTTTTAATATCCTAATTTGAAACCAAGATTTTTGAGTACAATATACCTCTAGAGATACTTACACTAAGTTTAACGATGTATCATTTCAAAAGTTAGTGTAACTGATTAAACATGATTAACTGCACAATAACAACTTAACGCATAATGATGTAGATTTTCATGGGCATTTGAGCAACCAAATCACGTGGAGCTGACCTGTCCAGTATGGTGGTCAATAGCTACTTGCGGCTATTTAGATTTAATTTAAATTTGTAAAAATGTAAAATGAACTTCCTCAATTTTACTAGCCACATTGCAAGTCCTCAGTAGTCAAAAGTAGCTAGTGCCTATGGTTTGGGGGCTATGCAAATTCAGAAATTTATAGAACATTTTTATAATTGCAGAAAGTTACAGTGGACAGTGCTAATATGGGGGATCTATATTTGTACAGCAGGGAAGTTTTATTAGCACCAGGAGGATTCTTGATGTCAGCTACTCTTGGAAAAATGAATATGATGTAAAATAACTTAAAATGTATTCTGTGATTGTTTTTTTCCTCGAACTTTTAGTTTCAATGCAGGTCCTGTCCTGATTAGAAATTGACTTGTTAGAAGGGAAAAAAATCACAACTTTCGACTTTAATATTTTCATTGTGAAGAGGCACTGTGTGTCTGCTCTTCCCTCCCCCACCCCCCCAAAAAAGTTCATTTTGATTAGATTTATTGAAGCTTTCCCTTTTGACATACAGCCGATTGAAAGTACCCTCTCCTTGAAAACAACTCTTGTGAATTGGGACTTAAATGGGCCAGGCACTATACTGAGCACTTTGCATACAGTAATAGCTCATTTCATCCTGACATCAGCCTTGTGAAGTTGGAATTGCTGTCCCTCAGGAAAATGTCCCTGGGAGTTCAAGTGACTAACTTCAGATCAAGCTGCCTTTCTTTTCCTTGTATTGTAGTGAAAGTCACTCAGTCGTGTCCAGTTCTTTGGGATCCCATAGGCTATACAGTCTATGGAATTCTCCAGGCCAGAATACTGGAGTGGGTAGCCTTTCCCTTCTCCAGGAGATCTTCCCAACCCAGGGATCGAACCCAGGTCTCCCACACTGCAGGCGGATTCTTTACCAGCTGAGCCATGAGGGAAGCCCAGGAATATGGAGTGGGTAGCCTCTCCCTTCTCCATCGGATCTTCCCAACCCAGGAATTGAGCTGGCGTCTCCTGCATTGCAGGCGGATTCTTTACCAACTGAGCTATCAGGGAAGCGCTGATAAGTATTGTATGTAACAGTCATATCGCTCTTTGTAGGTGCTTTGCGTATATTAGAAAGGTATCAGGTACAAAATAGAGGCTCCGCAAGCCTTTGCTATTAACAACCGTTGCACATTTCAGAATTCCCTGTGGTTCATAATTGCCTTGTTTTTCACATGCTTGCTTTTTTGCTATAAGTATTGTGCAATAATTCAGTGTCAGAGTCTATCGGAAGTGTAAATCTCGTTTTTTGTGTTCAAACATGTCAAGTACTCTTAAGTTTTACCTTTTCCCTATCCTCCTCCAACCTGGATTGGTTACCCCAAAACAAATGTAATCACCACATACGGCTCAGCTGTAAATACTGTTTACAGTCATAATAATGTAGCTGTTCAATGGTTTAACAAATTATAATCAGAAGACGGAAAGGTGTGTATGTCTGAGGGGACATCCCTAAAATATCTGAAACTACAAATGAATAGAAATTATATTATTGAGGGCTTCCCTGGTGGCTCAGTGGTAAAGAACCTGCCTGCCAATGCGGGAGACACCGGTTTGATCCCTGATGCTGGAAGAGCCCACATAGTGCAGAGCAACTAAGCCCCCGCCACAACTATGGAGCCTGTGCCCTAGAGTCCTGTGGCCCCAGCTCCTGAAGCCCTCGTGACCTAGCGCCTGCGCTCCACAACAGGAGGAGCTACCACAGCGAGGAGCCTGTGCGCTCCAACCAGAGCGTAGCCGCCTCCACTCCCCACAACTAGAGGAAAGCCGGCACAGCAACGAAGAGCCAGACAGTCAAAAATTAAATAAAATTATCTTTTAAAGTATATTATTTAGAAATACGCATATTTTAGAGAAAAGGTTTGGAAGTGGTTGCCTCAAGGGACTGGGAGTTGGGATAAGGAATAGGTGGGGTAAGGGATGGCTGTTTATTGTTTGACATAAAATCAGTTTTTTTCCCCAGTGTCTTGGTTCAGTCTCTCAGTCGTATCTGACTCTGCAACCCCATGGACTGCAGCACACCAGGTTTCCCTGTCTATTATCAACCTCTGGAGCTTGCTCAAACTCATCTCCATCGAGTCGGTGATGCCATGCAACCATCTCATTCTCTGTCGTTCCCTTCTGCCTTCAACCTTTCCTAGCATCAGAGTCTTTTCCAATGAGTCAGTTCTTCACATCAGGTGCATGAGTCCTTGCAATGAATATTCAGGACTGATTTCCTTTAGGACTGACTGGTTTGATCTTGCAGTCCAAAGGACTCTTGAGAGTCCTGTTCAACACAGTTCAAAAACATCAATTCTTTGGCACTTAGCCTTTATGGCCCAACTCTCACATCCATACATGACTACTGGAAAAACCAGAGCTTTGACTATACAGACCTTTGTCAGTGAAATTAAAAGACACTTGCTCCTTGGAAGAAAAGCTATGACCAACCTAGACAGCATATTAAAAAGCAAAGACATTACTTTGCTGACAAAAATGTCTAACACATCCCCGACATTCTTGTGGGAATTTGATTAGAAACAGCAAACAAGGAATCCTATCTGATAAAACTTACATTCTAAATTAAGTATGTAAAAATCTTCCACATGTAAAATAAAATTTAAAAATAGTACGCAAAAAAAAAAAATAGTACGCAAAAAGCAGAGGGGTTGGCAGATAGTGGTAAATATTTATCAGTTATAATTCAAAGGCCTCCAACTGCCACGCTGGAGCACTTACTAGAAGCCAGGCATTAGGCCAAATGTTTTTCCAACTTCTCATTTTGTCCTCACAACAAACATGGTTTGGGACTTTGCTGGAGGGCGAGTGGTGAAGACAGTTCCAGTGCAGGGGGCATGGGTTTGATCCCTGGCCTGGAAATTGAGATCCCACATGTCACACTGCTTGGCCAAACAAAACATAGCATGAGGTAAACACTGTTATTTGTTGGTTAGTTGCTAAATTGAGTCCGACTCTTCAACCCTGTGGACTGTAGCCCGCCAGGTTCCTCTTTCCATGGGATTTCCCAGGCAAGATCACCAGAGAGGGTTGCCATTTCCTTCTCCAGGGGATTATCTCCGTGTGGGGATGGAACCTGTGTCTCCTGCGTTGGCAGGTGGATTCTTTACCACTGAGCCAGTCGGGAAACCAAGTGTTACTATTACCCAAAATAGTGAGGAGGGCCCAATTTGTTCAAATCTATGGTCAAAGCACATAAACACTATACTACTGAGGAAGTGAATAGAATAAAACTGGAAATTTGGCAGCTTGTGGTTGGATCTAAGACTGGATCCACAATGTATGACAAAAACCACTACAATATTGTAAAGTAATTAGCCTCCAACTAATAAAAATAAATGAAAAAAAAAAAAAGAAACATTTAAAAAAAAAAAAAAGACTGGATCCACCAGTGCTTGACTTTTGGGCCAAACACCCCAAATTTGGGATGTATATACTGTCAAGGAAGGGCTGAAGTGGCCATCAGCCCAGAAGGAGCCTCAGAAATGGATTCTCAAGCAATTGGAATGACTTTCACTGTTGGAGATGACAATTCTCATAGAAGTTTCACATTCTGGGGAATGGGTAGTAAACTGAGGTGAAGGCTTGGGACTCTCCCAGATTAGAAGTCAAATTGTCAGGATTATCTAGAAACCGTGTTTACTGAGTGCCTTGTGTGGCAGGTCACTGTTTTGGGACAGGTTAGACCTGGCGGTTTGGATTAGTGTAGGAGATGTGGGACGCCAGAAAGTGACAAGACTTGGGGACTGATTCGTTTTAGTTGACATAGTTGCCCCAATTTACACTCGCTGTAATTCTGCCCTCCCTGCTCCCCAGGGAATGATGGAAGAACCCCATCGCAGTAGTGAACAGAAATCTCTTGCAAACTGGGAAATGCAGTGTGAAGGGGTGGCTGGAGCGGACCAGTCAGTAATTTGCCTAAATGAGTGGAACTGAATCGTCCAGACTCCCAAAGGACATCTTTCACTTGAAAAAAAAAAAAAAGTGCCTACATTTGCAATTTTTTTTTTAACAAGGAACGTAAAATTCTGGAATTTATCTGTATGTGTGTGTTTAAATAGAAACCCGAGAAAGCCAGTCACCCGCTCCACCCACAGCCCGGCGCTGGGCGGGCTCTGCCCCAACCCCTCCCGCGGGCTCCAGTCTTGGGACCCGCTCGCAGGGAGCCGGAAAGACCCGGAGCGGCGCGCGGGCGCGGCCCTGGGCACCGACCTGTGGAGCATGCGCAGAAGGCGGCAGAGGCGCATGCTCCGTGAAGGTCCCGGCCCGGCGTACCCCGCGTCTACGCCAGTCCGGGGGCCCCACAGAGTCCCGGCGGGGCCGCGGGCATGGCGGCCAGCCTGTGGATGGGCGACGTGAGTGAGGGCGGCCTCACGGGTCTGTGGTGCAGGAATCTTAGCGTCGCGAGGAAGAAAGGGGCCGAGGGGGGAGGGTCCTCGAATCCCTAAAAGGGTGGATGTGAATAGGGAGGGGAGATCTTTTAGGCGACGCCGGCGCGAGTCCCAGTATTTAGGTGCCGGGGTCGGGGGTGGGGGTTGGGGCCGAGACTGAAGGGAAGGGTCCTCCTCGGATCCTCAGAAGGTGGAAGTGCTTGAGAAGGGCAGTTCTCTTAGGTGACACCCAAGTGAGTCCCAGCGTGTAGGTGAAGGGGGCTGACTCGGAGGGGGAGGAGTCTTCGGGGCCCCGCCTGGGTTCACGGAAGCGAAAAGGAGGGTTGGGGGGGCGGATAGAATGGGAGGAATCCTAAAGGTGCAAGAGCGCCCCTGGTTCTGGACTGGAGGGATGGATTCCATCCCAGTGCGGGGGCGGTTTCTACAAAGGAGCACATTTAAAGGGAAAGAAGGCGAGGGACCAGGAACGCAGGGGTTCAGATCATTCTGCGCATGGAAACCTCTTCCCCCCACCCCCAACCCCACTCCCGCCCGCCAGCAGCGTGCAGCCCATCCCGGGCTGAGGGAAGGGCTCCGGATCCGGGAAACGAGGAGTCTGGATGCTGGCCCAACCCGCTCTGCTCTTGTGTTTACGCAGCTGGAGCCCTACATGGATGAGAACTTCATCTCCAGAGCCTTTGCTACCATGGGGGAGACAGTGATGAGCGTCAAAATTATCCGAAACCGCCTCACTGGGTTTGTCCTCTTATTTCAGTCTTCTTGGTTCTACTTTATAGATCGCTCTGCGTGTCATTCAGAAGGGTAACAGGGTCAGGGCTTCTGACCCCTAGTAATAGTTCTCATAATGATGTTAGCATTTGGGGGCGTACAGCTGACTGGACCCAGTCTGGATTTGAAAGCTCTTGTCTGCTGTGTGTGACTTTGAGCAAGTGACTTAATCTCTCCCTCTTGACTGTAAAAATAGACATAATGAAAGCACCTACCTCAGAGAGTCCTGGTGAGGATTAAGTGCCATTAATTCACGGTCAAGGTTTACCACAATGTCTGGCATATGGTATATGCTTGGTAAATATAAATAGATTATGATCTGCTAGGTAATAGGCACTTTAAAATCACAAAAACCTCTGAGCTAAGTACTGTTACTAGAGAAGCTTAATAGCAGTCTTAAATTTACACAGCTTTTAAATGAGAAGCCAGGACTCTAATTCAGCTGTGTTCTCGAAGTTCATGTACCCTTAACTCTCACGTGAAACACTACCTATGTGCTACTGTTCTAGATTTCCTGGGCACATGACTGAAATAAGCCAGAAACAGTCCCTCCTCTCCTGGAGTTTACTACATTCTAATAGGGGAATGAGATAGTTAATACCTACACAAAACAAAAATGTGAAGAATACTTTCACATAGCCCAAAAAAAAAAAAAAAAAGACAGTGTTCAGTGAGTATCTACTCTGTGCCGAGTACTAAAGCAGCTTGCTAAAGCTTCAGTTAATTGAAAAATGATGGGAGATAGGAAGTGCAGCCTTGACTTTGGCTGTTTGGTAAACAGGTACTTTCTTATTGTTCTTAGAGACAGAAAACCCTGATAAATCAGCTACTGGCATGAAAGTACATTCTGTAATACTTTCCAAAACACTGACATAGGTTCTCACATTTTAATCTTTATTAAGAATTGGAATCATCCTTTCCTGCCATTGGACTCCCCTGGTGACTGAGTGGTAAAGAATCTTCCTGCCAATGCAGGAGACTTAGGTTCAATCCCTGGGTCAGGAATATCCCCTGGAATAGGAAATGGCAACCAATTCCCGTATTCTTGCCTGGGAAATCCCATGGACAGAGGAGCCTGGCCGGCTATAATCCATGGGGTCGCAAAAGAGCAGGACATGACTTAGCGACTAAACAAGAAATAACAACCATTGATTACTAAATCCTAGCTGTTTTTTATGGTGGCACTATTATACATGTTACATGTGCACTCTGCCTCATATGACAAAGACTTTGAAGTGCCTTGTGAGAATACTGTAAAATAAATGTAAATTAAAAACAAGGAACAGAAAATATGGGGAAAAGATAAGACCCAAGGAAAAGTAATGCACAATAAAGCATATTGCTTAAGAATGTAGTGATTGGTTGTAAAATACTTAATACCACAGAGCTATACAGTTAGAGTGGTTAAAATAATAACATTTTATGTAATTGTGTGTGTGCTCAGTTGTGCCCGACTCTGCAAACCCATGGACTGTAGCCCAGACCAAGCTCCTCTGTCTATGGGATTTCCAGAGAATACTAGAGTGAGTTGCCATTTCCTTTTCCAGTGTTATATAATCCTTAAGGACAATTTTTTAAATTCAGCAAAACAAAAAAAAGAATACAGTTGCATGTGGAGTAACCACATCTCTTCCATCACTGGTGGGACTAGAAAATGTTACAACCACTGGGGACAAGTATCTGGCAGTATCTTTTTTTATTTTTTTCCTTTTTTTTAAAAAAACAAAACTTTCATTTGTGGCTGCACTGGGTCTTCATTGCTGAGCACGGGCTTTCTCCAGTTGCTGTGAGTGGGGGCTACTCTGTAGTGCTAGGCTTCTCATTGCAGAGCAGGGGTCTGCTCAAGTGGGCTTCAGTAGTTGTGGCACACAGGCTTAATTGCTCTGAGGCATGGAGGATCTTCCCTGACTAGGGATGGAACCCATGTCCCCTGCATAGGTGGATTCTTAACCACTGAACCACCAGGAAAGGCCATACATCTTCAATATATCTGCCTTAGCAAGTCTAGTCCTAGGTATTTACTCAAGAGAAATGAAAGTGTGTAACTACTATGAAAAGGACTTGAATATGTATACCACATTTTGTGTGTGTGTGTGTGCACGCGTGCGTGCATGTGTGTGAGCTCAGTCGCTCAGTTGTGTCCGACTCTTGGTGGCTTCTCTGCCTACTGAATTTTCCCAACAAGAATACAGGAGTGGGTTGCCATTTCCTACTCCAGGGGATCTTCCAGGTCCAGGATTGAACCTGTATCTCTTGCATCTCCTGCATTGGCAGGCGGATTCTTTACCACTGTGCCGCCTGGCAAGCCCCATAGCACATTGGACAATGTCCCCAAACTGCAGTCCAGGTGTCCATGAATAGGTAAATATATAAATACTGGTATAGTCATACAGTATATGACTGGTGTACACATACAGTTTATGTATATGTATGGTATACGTATACAGTATATGACATACAATTTCCGGAGTTTCCTTAAGTTCATGTCCTTTGAGTCGGTGATGCTATCTAGCCATCTTATCCTCTGACACCCTCTTTTCCTTTTGTCTTCAGTCTTTCCCAGCATCAGGATCTTTTTCACTGAGTCGTTTCTAAAATACACAAAATTAATCTGTGGTAGAAATAACTCAGCATCTAGAAGAATTTGTGCATTTCATTGTATGTAACTTAGAAGGACAAAACTGTACACAATAATTGAACTCTAGTTAATAATAAGCATGTTAAAATAATTGAGAAAAGTGTACCAATATCTGCAACTTACTTTGAAATGTGTCAGAAAATGAGGATGATATTTGTATTTTCCAAGTCTCCTATAAATGTGTTGTCATACTTTCATTATTTTTAAAAAAATCAACAAAAAAAAAGAAAATAAGGGTGATTAATAGGTAAGGACGTGGATGGATGGATTGTCACTTGGTAAAGTAAATATTAAAAAGAAAGTGGGTATATACATATATATATATATATATATATATATATATATATATATATATGTGAGTGTTTGGCAGCTGTTTCAATTTTTATGTTTGGAATTTTCCATAATAAATTGCTGGGGAAAGAATATAGTCAGATTAACCTGAACTCAAGTCCAGCCTTTGGCAGGTACCAGCTGTGTGGTTTAAGGCGTATTATACAATCCTGAGTCTCAGTCTCCACATCTAGATGGGAGCAGTAGTTTGCTTCCCTCATGGAGTTGTTCTGTGAGGCTGAGATGAGATGGTGTGTGTGAAGTGGTGAACACAGCTCTTGGCCTGTAGTGACTGCTCAGTAACGGTCCGCTCTTACTGGTGGTGGGCTGTACATCGGCTTAAGATTCTAGCACACACAAGATAGAAGACACAGGTTTGCCCCACCGTTCTTCTAAGCATTGATATTTATGAAGCTCATAGACTGTGTTCGGAGAAGGCAGTGGCAACCCACTCCAGTGCTCTTGCCTGGAGAATCCCAGGGACGGAGGAGCCCGGTGGGCTGCTGTCTATGGGGTCACACAGAGTTGGACACGACTGACGTGACTTAGCAGCAGCAGCAGACTGTGTTCTTAGATCCCTGGGCTCCGGTACTTCCCTTGCCCATACCTTTTGGCTTGGTGTCCATAAGGTTATTTCAACCGAGTATCTTAGTTCCAGAAAAGTCTGATTTATTTCACTGGTGATAGATTTAAGAATGCTGTTAAGGAAAACTTTTCAGTATAAATCTCTTAGGAGGAAGGAATATCAGAGGATCTAGCCACATCTACCTACTTACATCCCTTAGTGATGCTTTAAAAATAGACCACCAGGAATCTTACAGATATCCCCCCAATTAGGCCTGGTCTGTGGATTTACTTTGTTCAACTAGATCTTAAGTATCTTAAGGTCAGGTACCATGTTCTTCAACTCTGTATCTGCCTGGATGGTGGTAGGTGATCAAAAAAACGTTTTAAATCATGAAAAATTTTAATTTACAAAGAGTGCAATGTACACTCATATAACCACCACCTCATTTCAAAAACTGTTAATATGTTGCTGTATTCTCCTTAGCTACGTGTCTGTAGAGATTTAGGTATGTAGATGTTTAATTTTGCCAAACCATGAGAAAGTAAATCATAGGCATCATGACATTTCTAAATATTTGAATATTGTTTTTTAATGAATTAGGATCCAGTCAGAGATCAGATCCTATATTGCATTTGTCTCTTTTTAATGTAGAAATGCCCACTTCTTTCTTTTCTCAGAATAATGACTTTTTGAAGAGGTAAGATTGTCTTACATTAGGTTCTACATTCTGGATTCTGGTCCTCCATTCTGGATTTATTTGTTTCCTTGTTGTAGTGTTTTGCTTGTTCTGTTCCTAATAGTTCCTTTAAGCTGGACATTAGATCTGAAGGTTTGCTTGGGTTGCATAGAAGTTTTTTTTTTTTCGGCTGTGCCAGGTCTTATAGGACACACGAGATCTTCAGTCTTCAGTTGTGCAGGATCGTTAGTTGTGGCATACAAACTCTTAGTTGCAGCAAGCAGGATCTAGTTCCCTGACCAGGGAGGGATGGAACCCATGCTCTCTGGCTTGGGAGCTTGGAGTTTAGCCAGTGGACCACTAGGGAAGTCCCAGGAAACATTTTTGACAAGAGTTATTCATAGGTGTTACAATATATAAATATACAAAATATAAATAAAACACCTATGAATGTATAATATACTCATAGGTGCTACAATATATAAATGATTTACTACATAAATCTGGTACTGGACTCGATTGGCAGTGCTTATATACTCAGGTCTATAAATTCTGAACTGGAGTAAGCATGGAACAATAATATGGGCTGTCATGGGAAAAACATTTTTTCCTGCTCTCTAGCCCAGACTTCGTCTCTCATCTAGGTATCACATCTTGTGTGTGTGTGTGTGTGTCTGTCTGTCTGTGAAAGCTTGAATTACTCTTTTTAAATTGGAGGAAAATTGCTTTAGTGTTTTGTTGGTTTCTGCTATACAACAACTTGAATCAGCCATAATTAAACATATATCCTATCTCCCCTCCCTCTTGAACCTTCCCTCACCCCTTCTTTTTTTAAATAATTATTTATTTGGCTGTACCTGGTTTTAGTTGCTGCATGTAAATACTTAGTTGCGGTATATGGGATCTAGTTCTCTGACCAGGGATGGAACCCAGGCCCCCTGCATTGAAAGCCTGGAGCCTTAGCCACACAATCCCTATCAAAGTCCCTGGGTGTCAGATCTTTAACCATTCACTTTTTCTGTTTTCTCTGCAGGATCCCGGCTGGCTACTGCTTTGTAGAATTCGCAGATTTGGCCACAGCTGAGAAGTGTTTGCATAAAATCAACGGGAAGCCCCTTCCAGGAGCCACACCTGTAAGGACACTTAGATAATGATAATGTTGCCGTTTTTGTTACCAGGGGTAACTGTTGTTTATTGAATCCCTACCATATCTTTTATTTAATCCTATAACAACCCTAAACAGTAGGCATTGTTATCTTTGACAGACCAGGAAACTGAAGCTCAGGGAGATGGAATAACTTGCCCAAGGCAACACAGGTAGTAAGTGGCAAAGCCAGGATGCAGAAGATTGGTTGCCTCTAAAACCCATGCCCTATCCACTCCGCACCGCTGCCTCCCTTCACAGAAGACTTGAACCTCTAGACCTCTTGCTTGATTGACAAAGTAGAACAGGCTGGCAGCTGTGAGGACACGTTTCAAGAGAGTTGCATTCTGCTCTTCCCACAGTTACTTAGCTTACAGCTGCACCACGCTGGCACACCTGGGCTCATAGAACCATGGAGCTGGCAGTGCCCTTAGCGGTCATCCGTGCATCCCCCTCCTTTTAAACAGGAGAAAAGGCTGAGGCTTAGAGAGGGGGAGATGTTTTGGCCAAGGTAATTTATTTCAGTTTTTTTCCAAAAATTGTTGATTCTTGAAACACCTTTCTCTGTTTTAGTTTGTTTGTTTTTAAATTTTCAGGCAAAGCGTTTTAAACTGAATTATGCCACTTATGGGAAACAGCCAGATAATAGGTAAGTAGAGAGTAGCCACAAGGTAGCTTCAAGTCCTGGGAAATGTCTAAGTAGAGACAAGATGTATTCACTGCGCTAATCACTTCCAGAGAGGAGGATGGGGAGCTGAGTTTGACCCCAGTTTGCTTCCCTCCTGAACGCCAACCCCTCTCATCCCTGGTGGGGAATACTTCCAGGTTGCTTATGTCAAGGCCCTTATCTTCTCTGTATTTGCTCCCTCTCCTAGTCCCTTGACTGCCCACAGTAATGACATTTTATTCAGTAAGAATTGCTGTAGCAACGTAAATGTATCAAGCATTTCAGATTGCTGTTTGAAAGCTGGAGAACATTGTATCAAAAGCTTTAGATAGATTTATACCCTTTGAACCCATAATTCTGCTTTTCAGAATTTATTCATGGATCTGTATAAAGATTATTCCTAGGTGGCACTAGTGGTAAGGAACCCGCCTGCCAATGCAGGAGACATAAGAGATGCAGGTTTGATCCTTGGGTTGGGAAGATCTGGAGGAGGGTGTGGCAACCCACTCCAGTACTCTTGCCTGGAGAATCCCATGGACAGAGAAGCCTGGTGGGCTACACAGTCCATAGAATCGCACAGAGTTGGACATGACTGAAGTGACTTAGCACACATGTGTAAAAATTAGCCTTGAAAATGTTTGTTGATATCATGTAATATCACTTATATGTGGAATCTTCAAAAAGAACTTACTTATGAAACAGAAATAGAGCCACAGATGTAGAAAACAAGCTATGATTACCAGAGGATAAGGGGACGCAGTGAAGAAATTGGGAAGTTGGGGACTGACTTGTACACACTAGTATATATAAAACAGGCAGCTAATTAGGACCTACTGTATAGCATAGGGAGCTCTATTGGATACCCTGTAATGGCTTATATGGGAAAAGAATATAAAAAAAGTGGATATGTGTATATGTATAAACTGATTCACTTTGCTGTACACCTAAAGTTAGCACAGCATTGTATATCAACTACAGTGAAAGTTTTTTTTAAAAAAAGAGAAAATGTTCATTGAGCTACTACATATAATGGGCAAAATTGGGGGAAAATCCAAGTAATCTAATAATAGGAAAGTGGTGTAAGTTACAATATGTTCATTTTTTGGAATGTTGTGTATCCATTAACGTGTCATGTTGTAGCAGAATACTCACATGTCAAGATGTTGGTGAGATGCTGTAAGTGAAAAAAATGCTAGAAACAAATGAGTTGTATCCAGTTTTTGTAAATTCAAAGGAAGAAGCTAAAGCAAAACTACAAAAATGCGTATCAAGGTGTTCATGGTGATTTTCTTTGAGCTGGGTTAGTGGTATTTTATTTTTCTTTGTCCTTTTATATATTCTGATCTTATGCAAGGTGTACTTGAAATAAAATAATAATGAGTTTATTGTTCTATTACAGGGGTTGGCAAACTGTGGCCTAAGTGTGTTATTACCTGAAAGCTAAAAATGGTTTTTACCTTTTTTTTTTTTTTTTGGTGGCGCCTCACGGTTTGCAGGATCCTAGTTACCCAACCAGGGATTAAACCTGGGCCGTCGGCAGTGAGAGCACAGAGTCATAACCACTGGACCGTCAGGAAATTCCCTGTATAGTTTAAATTTATTTATTCATTTGGCCATGCTGCTCTGCTTGTGGAGTCTTAGCTCCCTGACCAGGAATCAATTCTATGCCCCCTGCAATGAAAGTGGACCACCTTAACTACATAAGTAACTTAACTACTGGGCCACCAGGGAAGGCCCCCTGGCCCCCCTTTCATTTTTAAAGGGTTGTGTGTGTCAACACACAGAAGACAGCAGAAATAAGAGTTGCCCCTAGAGAGCCTACAGTAGTTACTGTATAGCCTTCACAGAAAATTTTGCTGATCCTGTCCTGAAAGTTGAAGGATTTCATGTTAGCCCATCTCTAGGAGAGAAGGTTCAGTTCTCATGCTCCCTGTACTTTCACCATTTGGATTAAAAGTATGCAATGAATGCAGAATCTCTGGCTTTATCTTTTGAGCATCTCTGACTTGTTCCCTCGTCTGCACTCATGTAATGCTTGAAGCCAGACAGGCTTTGTTCAGTGGGTGAGGGACTTGGGGCAGGACACTCCTTCCGTAACTCTTCTGCCAGGACTGCCAAATGAAACAAATTAGGACTAGGTTAAGAATCCATCAGATGTGTTGTTCTCTGACGTGGCACAGAAGAGGTTTATCTAAAATGGGCCAAGAGAGCTCACAAGAGCAGAAGTTCTCTTCTCTGTGTCTGAATCTCGTTCTCTCTTCTCAGCCCTGAATACTCCCTCTTTGTGGGGGATCTGACCCCAGATGTGGATGATGGCATGCTGTATGAGTTCTTCGTCAAAGTCTACCCCTCCTGTCGGGGAGGCAAGGTGGTTTTGGACCAGACAGGCGTGTCTAAGTAAGGCCTTACTTTTATTGATGCCTACCCTGTTGGTTGCAGCATGTATCTCATAGCTGAGGGTGTGATAAGGAGGCCATGTTGCATGATGGTGAAGAGCTCAGGCTCTGGAGCCAAACCGCCTGGTACAAATCCCAGCCTCAGTACTGCCCAGGGATTATGCAACAGACAAGTTACTGAACCTCTGCCCCTGTTTCCTCATCTTTGAAATGGGACTGATTAATAGTATATGCATCTCATGGGGGTTGGTGTAAGGATGAAATGATGGAATGTAAATAAATCAATAGAAAATGCTTTATAGGTATTTCCTTTTTTAGTATTGGTACTTTAAAAGTAGAAACATTAAATTTGAAAAAAAAAGAAAAGTAGAAACATCTCAAGAAGGGTTTATATATATATATATTTTTTCTCCATTCTGGTTTATTACAGAATTTTTTTTTTTATTACAGAATATTGAATATATATAGTTCCCCTGTGCTATACAGTAGGACCTTGTTTATCTATAGTGGTTTACATCGGCTAATCTCAAACTCCTCCTAATTTATCCCTTTTTACCCTCTTACACCTTTGATAACCATAAATTTGTTTTCTGTGTCTGTGAGTCTCTTTCTGTTTTGTAAGTAAGTTCATTTATATCATATTTTAGATTCCACGCATAAGTGAGATCATATGATATACGTTGGGAAAGATTCCTTTTTGATCTAAGTAGTAGTTATGAGCTTGGACTTTGAATTCTGTTTCTGGTATGACTTTGGGCAAGTCATTAAACATCTTTGAAGTTTGGTTTTACCTTCAATAAGATGTGGATACTCCCTTCATCAAGTTGTTGGACAGTTTATTGAGATAACTCTGGGAAAATACTCAGCATAGTGCCTGGGAAATAAAAAGTGGTCATTAAATGTTAACTGTCATTCATTTAGCCTCAAGTGGGATATGAGTTCAGGAGATCAGGAGCCTTGTCTGCTTGAGACTGCTGAGTCCCAGTGCCTTGGGTAGCACCTGGCATGCAGGGCAGGCTCTATAAATACTTGGCCTTCTATGACTGTTACTGCTTCTACTGTAGTAATAATAATGATAATACTTCACAGTAGATTGGGAGGGAAACTCCTGTTTGGGGAGAAGCCCCATCAGGATGGCATGGAGGAGATGGGTGAACTGGAAGTGGGATCCTCCAATGCTGGGGTCTCACGCTGCTCTGTGACACCCCTGTTTCATGGGGCGCTCAGGCCTGCCCACGTGGTTTGATGGGCGCTCTCTCCCTTCTCAGCTTCTTTTCCGTTCTTTGCTTTTACCTGCATCACATTTGTGATCTAAATCGTGCGTGTATATGTGTGTGTCTTTTTCCTGCAGGGGTTATGGTTTTGTGAAATTCACAGATGAGCTGGAACAGAAGCGAGCCCTGACAGAGTGCCAGGGAGCCATAGGACTGGGGTCTAAACCAGTGCGGCTGAGCGTGGCCATCCCCAAAGCGTGAGTCCTGCGCTGGTGTGGGAACCGAGGCATGCCTTGTCGGTTGCTGATAATCAGGGCATCCGCTTGCTGATTGGGAGGCTGCCAGGAGACTCAGTGCAGGCCACAAATAATGAGTGCCTGGTATTCGCCAGGCTGGGGGCTGGAGATGAGCCAGCATCGCTGTTGCCCCTGCAGAAGCTTACGGCTGAGGAGAGAGCTATGACTGGGGGAGGCAGGCACATTCAGAATTGCTATAGTAATGCTGGAAAAGCAATTGGGCTCTGCAAACTTAGTTTGTGTGCTCTTTGCCCAGTAGAGCTGCTGTTGAAACGTACAAACCTCTTATGAGTCCCCCTTGCTATGGGAGTGGCTAAGAATTAATGATATAGGGAATATGATATAGGAAATTGCCACAAGCCACACCTTGTGGCCTAAAGAAAAATAATGATACAAGCAGGATAGAATATTATATATACATCACTATTGTACCTGTCACTCTGGGCAAAAAACCCTTCTTCCCATGCATATCCAAGCATGTTTTATACTCAGATATAAGACAGTTTTTCTCTGCATAGAATCTTCCATCCTTTGGCCCAAACAGTGGTTCTAAACTTGAGGACATTGGCAACAGCTGAAGATAAATTTGATTGTCACATCCCATACTGGGAGAGGGCAGCCTCTGGAATCTAATGAATACAGGCCAGGTATGCTACTAAACATCCTACAGTGCACAGGTCAGCTCCCGGAACAAAGAATGGTCTCCTCTGCCTCCCAAACGTCAGTTTTACTAAGGCTGAGAAACTTCGTGTTAAAGTATACAGGTGGTTATACTCTTCGGGCAGAACTTTCAGGTGGCCGTGTTTTTTAAGACAGCAAAAGATTTGGAGGCTCTCTGCAGTTTAGCCACAGCAATTCTCCCCTCCAAATGTTATTTGTTCTAAACTCTACTGTATATGTAAAAACGTTAAAGAAAACATTGAAAAGAAAGTTCCTCATTACTCTAAATGACTGCTTATAATTTCTGGGTTCCTTTTCAGGCTTTTCCGTAAGCTTCTGTTCCGTATAAATGTAGATATTGATATAGATACACACATGCTACATGCATATGGGTCAGTTTACATGTTAGATTCATCGCTTTATTCATTTTTAACACAAAGCAATGCTCACTCTTTCGCTTCCCCGGTTTACTCAGTATACACACTCACTTTGCCATAGAGTTGCGTAGTTGTCGCTGTGTTTTCTGCTGTGTCATCATTTATTCAGTCAGTGATAACTGAGTCCCTGCAACCGTAGCCCCACCCTAGACTTTGAAGTTGTAGTTATAAACAAGAAAAACGAAGTCCCTTCTGCAGAGCCATTATATTCTGTTACATCTGTTTCTTCATTGAGCATTGTTGTCAGCATTTGATGCCTGCCTCTGGGGAGATGCCCTCATGCACTAAGAATTGAGTGATAAGAGTTTCCTTTGAGAGTCAGACTTGTAAGAGGCAAGTGTGGAGAAACAGAAATGTGTAGACCCAGGCCCTGTACCTTCAGTGATCTGAACTTGTCATGGGGGTGGTAGACTCCTTGGACACATGGGTCAGGGGGGTAGGGCCATGGAGACAAACATTAGCAGTTTTCAGCCTGGCAATGGGCAGGGAGAGGAAATCTCTGCCATCAGACTTCATTGAGCCGCTCCATCAGGAGGTGATGCTAAGGCAGTCAGATGCAGCCTAACTGCTCTGGCTGAGAGCTCACCAAGCCGACATTGAGCACACGGGGAACTTGGGAAGAGCTCATCACCTGTGGTTTTTTAAGATTTTGAAAGCAGTGGATCTTTTGCAGGCTTGACATTTTCTTTGGTTAGCAGTGACTGGGGTAGCTGTGGAATCAGAGAAGGTGGCTTTCTGTTGACCTTGGGCCTCAGCCCTGATTGGTGAATGCAGGAAAGGGGAGATGGACGGGAGACTTGAATCTGCAGGGCAGGTACTGTATGAACCGTGTTGTGGTAGGGGTGCAAGGCTTGGAGTTAAAATTTGGCTCCAGTCCTCTGTGTAGTCTTGGGTAAATCAGTTAACCACTCAGAAGGTCTGTTCTCATATTTACAGAGGGAATAATAAATAATAGCTCTGTCGTAGAGCTGTGCCAGACTTAAAGTAGGAGACCATATATGAAAAAGAATGGGCACAAATCCCAAGTACCTACTCCACAAATGGTATCTCTGACTACAGTTCCAGGCTCCTGAAACACTTAACCTTATGTTTTACAGGGAAAAGGTGATAAGATATTTTGTAATTTGAAAATGCTCCTTAGATCATTCTATATCCAGATTATCCAGGCCATGTTTACCTGACTGAGTCTTTGTGGCTGGCAGAAAAACAGCCCCCCAAGATCTTGAGAAGGGGAAAAGTCTGTACTAATAGAGTTTGTAAGGGAGACAAACCTAACCACTGAAAGCGCCTTTTTTTTTTTTTTTAATTTGGCCATGCTGTCTGGCTCACAGGATCCCAGTACGCTGATCAGGGATTGAACCTGGGCCCATGGAACTTAAAGTGCAGAGTCCCAACCATTGGACCACCTGGGAATTCCCAAAAGCTCCTATCTTTAAAGCTGGTTTCTGGGACCAGACTGCCTGGGTTTGAATCTCTTATTCACTGTGTGACTTCAGACAAATGATGTAATCTCTTTGTACCTCAGTTTTCTCATCTGTGAAATAGGATTAATTATATATTTACTGTATAGCACCATTGTGGGGATTAAACAAGTTAGTCTGTGTAAAGCGCTCAGAACAGTCCCGGTCATATCGTATTATGGAAATGTTTGCTCATTTGTTTATTTTTCTTTCTTCCTTTAAGGAGCCGTGTGAAGCCAGTGGAATATAGTCAAATGTACAGTTATAGCTACAACCAGTATTACCAGCAGTACCAGAACTACTATGCCCAGTGGGGCTATGACCAGAACACAGGCAGCTACAGCTATAGTTATCCCCAGTATGGCTACACCCAGAGCACCATGCAGGTAACCATGATTTGGCCAGTCTGGCCCCGCATCCTCTAGAGACGTGGGTGATTCTCCAGGATGGGGTGGTTAAGGACAGGAGCTTGCGCTTCAGAAAGACAGAGGAAAAGATGAAGCAGCGTAATTCCTCTTATTAAAAAGAAGCCATCCTAGTCATGGGCTAGGCTTTCACCATGCTTCTCACCCACCTCTCTGGTCTCTTGGCAGACATATGAAGAAGTCGGAGATGATGCATTGGAAGGTAAGAAAGGACTCCCTTCACTCTGTGTGAGATGTGAATGTCACCTGAGTGGGAAGTACGGATCCCAGATCTCCCTGGGGAGCAACAGGGGAGGGAGCCCAAGGTTCCTTGGATACGTGGTGTTCTACCCTAGGATGTAGGTCTGAACCAAAAACTCCGTTGCCTTATATCTGTTTCACAGTTTGTCAGAATCGTGTAAAATGATCTTTTTAATTTCACATTTTGATTTTTTTCCACACTTTTTTTTAAGCTATGCTGAGTCCTTGTTGCCTATCCCAGCAGTCTTTCTGTAGTTGCAGGGCACAGGCTCTAGAGCGTGCAGACTCTTTAGTTGTCATGTGGGCTTAGCTCCCCTGCAGCATGTGGAATCTTAGCTCCCTGACCAGGGATTGAACTGGAGACCCCTGCATTGTAGGAAGGCAGGTTCTTAACCACTGGACCACCAAGGAACTCCCCCCCATATATCTTAAATGACATATTTTCCTCACTTTCAAGTAATAGTTATGATTGAAAGTTTGGAAAATACAGTAAAGTATAAGGAAGAAACTAAAAATCACCTCCCAGTTTCACTACGTGGTAATAGCCATTATTGCTTATTTAAAATTAAAAGTGTTTGTTATGATTTTTTACTGAATTTAACAAAAGAAAAAGTAAAGCCAAAGTAATTGCTGACCTTCAGACAAATATTTTTTCAAATGAGATATTCATACTTTTAAAGGAGTCTAAGGTTTGAGAAAATTATTTAAAAAAAAAATTTTTTTTTAATTTTTCTCAACATATTTCCGAACAGAATGTTAGGTTTAAGGTTTAAAGAAGTAAAATAAAATCAGACATCGATTTCTAAGTACATAAGGCTTTATTTTAAGGTACAAAAAGACTCCAAGTTTAAAATCTTGTCTGTTTTAAGAATTCTTCTTTAAGAGAAGGTCATAGGGAAAATGTGATCTGTAAGCAAAATATCCTTTAAAGGAAACATCATCTGTAGGCATAAAACAAATTTCATAGCATTTTAAAGCACTTCACTGAACATGTTGTCATCTGATTCTGGCAGCAGCGACCGTAGGGGTGGGCTGGGCAGACACGGAGCTCCAGTAGAGGGATGGTGAGCTGGAGATCCGCGTGGTCTTCTCAGGGTCACCCAGTGAGTTAGGAGCAGGGTTCAACCTGGAGTCCCTGTCTTTCTGTCCTTAGTCTCTTGCCTTTTCTTGCAGGAAGCACTGCCTCCTTTTTAGAGAAATTATCCTCATTATAACAATATTTGTGTGTAACTCCTTAGAGTTTTTCTGTTTCTTCATCATCCATTATTATAGCCAACACTGCTACAGTAGTTTTGCAGGCACTGCTACCTATCAACACTTTGATGAATAGGTTCCTTTATAAATCCCATTCTACAGAAAAGAAAACTGAAGCTTAAATAGTTAATAGCTGACAGGTTTTACTATGTACAGGGCACTGTTCTTTTTTTTTTTTTTTTTTTTTTTTTTTTTTTTTTTTTAATTTTTATTAGTTGGAGGCTAATTACTTTACATCATTACAGTAGTTTTTGTTATACATTGATATGAATTAGCCATAGGGCACTGTTCTAAGCACTTTTACAGGTATTAACTCATTTGACATTCACAATGGTTTTGAGGTAAGTACCTTAATTATCTTGATTTTACAGAAGAGAAAGCAAATTAGATTTCCTGTTCAAGGTCAGCATAGTTGCAACATTGTAGCAAGAGGTAGACTGTCTTGGAACCCTGCAGTCTTGCCTCAGACTTCAGGCTCTTTACCACAGTTATAATGCCTCCCTCTTTTTTTTTTTTTTTTTGGTGGCCGGATCTTAGTTCCCCAATCGGGGATTGAGCCCATACCTTTGGCAGTGAAAGCATGGAGCCCTAACCACTGGACTACCAGGGAAATCCCTAACACCTCCCATTTTAACCTAATAGCCACACAGAAACAGGGCCCAGGAGGGTGTGTCATCCTTCTTCTGTGCCTTGGGTTCAGCAGGCCAACTTCCAGGCCCTGTCACCCAAGTGAGGAAGGATGCTATACTGTTCGTGCGTCTGTAGACATCTGCACATCCAAATATGTGTCCTTGGGAATTCGCTGGCGGTCCAGTGCCGGGTGCTTTCACCACCATGGCCTGGGTTCAGTCCCTGGTCAAGGAACTGAGACCCCTAGAGCTGCGTGGCTCGGCTAGAAACACCCAAGACGAAACACAGCAGCAGCAAAAACGCTTGCCCTTGCTGGAGGCTTTTGCTAATCTGTTGCCATATGCCATTACCAGCACTGAGTGGAGTGGCCAGACTGGTCATGCACTGCTTTCCTGGAGTTCCCTTATGGAGCCGCTTGCTGGACATGCTCAAAACTTCAACTCATAATTTAGATTAGAATTACAAGAGGGATTCCTCTGGTTGCAGGAATGGGCACCTGCAATGGGTGAAAAGATTCACCACTGATTGGTTGATTACTGACTGACTGATTCTTACAAGTGCCTGAGAAAGTTGGAAACAGCTTACAAAAGAAGCACAAATGGCCTATAAACCACAAGAGAAAAGAATTTAAGCATATACTATTTGTGTTAGTCCAGATTCTCCAGAGAAATAGAGCTGAACGGATATATGTATTTATAATCTGTGCTGTGCTTCAGCAAGCTGGAGGCCCAGGCAGGATTTCTGTATTAGCACCTAGAGGTAGAATTCCTACTTTGGGAATCCTCAGTTTAAGGCCTTTAATTGATTGGCTAAGGCCCACCCACATTATTGAGAATAATCACCTTTACTCAAAGTCAACTGATTGTAGATGTGAATCACATCTACAGAATATCTTTATCTAGACTGGTGTTTCACCAAACAACCGGTCACCACTGCCCTGACCAAATTGACACAAAATGTAACCATCACACTGCTAATACTAGTACTTAAATACAAATTAAAATATACTATTCTTTCTACAAAGAATTCTTAAAATGTTCATATGCATGAAATCAGTTTTACCTGAAAGATTTTATCCCACAATGATATCAATACAGGTAAATATCTAATAATAGGAGATTTATTAAATACTGGTAAAATTTTAATTAGATTTTTTGTTTTATTATGTCTTTTTCTAAAAAAAATAATAAATTATATCTTTTTCTAAGAATATTGATGTAGAGAAATGTTCTCAATGAAACAAGTCCTGAAATACAATAGGATATACAGTAAGAACTCAGTTAGGTTCTTTGGTTTTTATTTGGAGGGTGTAACTCACATAACATAAAATTCACCCTTTTAAAGTGTGCAGTAGTTTTTAAAAATAGCCACAAAGTTGTGCAGCCATTACCACTGTTTAATTCCACTGAAGAATCCTGTGAAACCACTAGCAGTCACTCCAATATCCTGGCCCTGGCAACCACTCCCCTACTTTGGATTTACGTATCCTGAACATTCTAGATAAATGGAGTCATGTATGATATGTGGTCCTTTGTGAATGGCCTCTCTGATTTAACTTCTGATTTCTCTGTGTTATAGCATGTGTCATTCCTTTCTTTTTATGGTTGAATAATATTCCATTCTGTGGATATCCATTTAGTTGATGGACATTTGGATTGTGTCCATTTTCATTGTTGTAAATAATATTGTTATGAACATATATGTATAAGTTTTTGTGTGGACATAGAGAGGTTTTCAGGGAAAAGTTTTCAGTATTCTTCAGTGTATACCTGGGAGTGTATTGCTGGATCATATAGTAAACTCTATTTAACCATTTGAGAAATGGCCAGACCTGTCCAAAAAGGCTTGGAGCATTTCCATTTCTCCACATTCTCACCAACAGTTACTATTTTTCATTTTGTCTATCATAGTAGCTTTGATGTCAGATTGCCACTTCATGGCAAATGGAAGGGGAAAAAGTGGAATCAGTGACAGATTTCCTCTTCTTGAGCTCTATAATCACTGTGGATGGTGACTACAGCCATGGAATTAGAAGATTGCTTCTTGGAAGGAAAGCTATGACAGACCTAGGCTGTGTGTTAAAAAAGCAAAGATGTCACTTTGCTGACAAAGGTCTATATAGTCAAAGCCATGGTTTTTCCTGTAGTCATGTATGAATGTGAGACTTGGACCATAAAGAAGGCAGAATGCCGAAGAATTGATACTTTCAAACTGTGGTGCTGGACAAGACTCTTGAGAGTCCCTGAGACAGCCAGGAAATCAAACCACTCAGTCCTAAAGGAAATCAACCCTGAATACTCATTGGAAGGACTGATGCTGAAGCTCCAAGACTTTAACCACCTGATAAGAGCCAACACATTGGAAAAGACCCTAATGCTGGGAAATACTGAGAGCAGAAGTGGGCAGCAGAGGATGAGATGGTTGGTTGGCATCACTGACTCAATAGACATGAGTTGAGCAAACTCAGGGAAATGGTGAAGGCCAGGGAAGCCTAGGGTGCTGCAGTTCATGGGGTCTTATTTATTTGGGTGCACCAAGTCTTAGCGGCAGCAGTTGCAGCATGCACGATGTTTAGTTGTGGCATGTGGAATCTAGTTCACTGACCAGAGATTGAACCAGGGTCCCTTGCATTGGGAGTTCAGTCTCTCAGTTGTGCCCAACTCTGCGACCCCATGGACTGCAGCACACCAGGCTTCCCTATCCATCACCAACTCCCAGAGCTTGCTCAGACTCATTTCCATTGAGTTGGTGATGCCATCCAACTGTCTCATCCTCTCATCCCCTTCTCCTCCTGCCTTCAATCTTTCCCAGCATCAGGATCTTTTCCAGTGAGTCAGTTCTTTGCATCGGGTGGCTAAAGTATTGGAGCTCCAGCATCAGTCCTTCCAAAGAGTATTCAGGACTGATTTCCTTTAGGACTGACTGGTTGGATCTCCTTGAAGTCCAAGGGACTCTCAAGAGTCTTCTCCAGCACCACAGTTTAAAAGCATCAATTCTTTGGTGCTCAGCTTTCGTTATAACCCAACTCTCACATCCGTACGTAACTATTGGAAAAAACCATGCATTTGACTAGACAGGCCTTTGTTGGCAAAATAATGTCTTTGCTTTTTAATAGGCTGTGTAGGTTGGTCATAGCTTTTCTTCCAAGGAGCAAGCGTCTTTTGATTTCATGGCTGCAGTCACCATCTGCAGTGATTTTGGAGCCCAAGCCAAGAAAATCTGTCACTGTTTCCATTGTTTCCCCATCTATTTGCCATGGAGTGATGGGACCAGATGCCATGATCTTAGTTTTCTGAATGTTGAGCTTTAAGTCAACTTTTTCACTCTCTTTCACTTTCATCAAGAGGCTCTTTAGTTCCTCTTCACCTTCTGCCATAAGGGTGGTGTCATCTGCATATCTGAGGTTATCGATATTTCTCCCGGCAATCTTGATTCCAGCTTGTGCTTCATCCAGCCCGGCATTTCTCATGATGTACTCTGCATGTAAGTTAAATAAGCAGGGTGACAGTATACAACCTTGACTTACTTCTTTACAAATTTGGAACCAATCTGTTGTTTCATGTCCTGTTCTAACTGTTGCTTCTTGACCTGCATACAGATTTCTCAGGAGGCAGGTCAGGTGGTCTGGTGTGCCCATCTCTTGAAGAATTTTCCACAGTTTGTTGTAATCTACACAGTCAAAGGCTTGGGAGTGCAGAGTCTTAGCTACTGGACCACCAGGGAAGTCCCTACTGTACTGTGTTTTGTAGTGACAAAACTTCCTTCTCTTTATAGTTGTATCACACAGATATACACCCCTAAACAGCAGGGTTTAGTTTTGCCTGTTTTTGAACTTTAATGCTGTGCTGTATATACTGTCTTGCTTCTTTCATTCAGTATTTTATTTGTGAGATTCGGCCAAGTTGGATGCAACGGAGGTTCATTTTTAGTGCTCAGTAATATTCCCTTCTAAGAATAGTTTTCTTGTTAGAAGTTTAAAAGGAAGCTGTTTGGTATTTTGTCATGGTTTCTGGTGAACAAATACCACTATTGCGTTCAAGAAAAAAATATATATATAAATACAGAACTTGGTGTTTCAGCTTGTGTATTTGACTCTAGCTCTTTCATTAGACATTCATTGTTCTTGATTTAGTAATCTTGATCAGGTTTTCCAAACCCAAATTTCAAAAAAGGACCACACCAGAAAATCTGAGACATGTGACAGCTACAGGTGTGTGTAGTGTTTAATAAACATGGAATGACAGCCAAAACTGCTTGAGTACTAATTACGTGTTACATTCTGTAAAATTAGAGTTAGACCCTTGATTAACTTTACCGTCGGAGCCACCAAGTAAGCCCATAGTAAAGAGTCTGCCTGCAATACGGGAGACCCTGGTTCAATCCCTGCGTCAGGAAGATCCCCTGGTGAAGGAAATGGCAACCCACTCCAGTGTCCTTGCCTGGGGAATCCCACGGAGGAGCCTGGCAGGCTACAGTCCATGGGGTCACAAAGAGTCAGACACAACTGAGCCACTTCACTTTCTACTTTCTTTTCTTGATTAACTAGGGCTTAGGGGCTCCTGCCAGCCTCAATCATAAATCCGCATGTAACCTGTAGTCAGCCTTCACTATCCTCCATTCCTCCACATTCTTGGATTCAGCCAGCCGAGGGTTGAATCGTGTAGTACTATAGCATTTACTCTGGAAAACCTCCACATGCAAATGGATCCTGTCCTGTTTGAGGCTGAACTGTCCACTACCCTCTTCTCTTCCTCACAAACCCTACAAAGGCAGCAGTGCTGGCAGCCCCGGTGAGGCAGGACGGAGCAGGGAACTGAGTCTTCCATGGCTGCTGAGTGCTGCTCCCCTCTGCGCCCCCTGAACCCACCCTTGCTTCTCTTCCAGACCCCATGCCGCAGCTGGATGTGACCGAGGCCAACAAGGAGTTCATGGAGCAGAGCGAGGAGCTGTATGATGCGCTGATGGACTGTCACTGGCAGCCTCTAGACACAGTGTCTTCAGAGATCCCTGCCATGATATAGCCAGGACAAAGGACAAGCCAGAATGGACTTGTGAGGGAGAGAAGAGACTCCTTTTTTTATTACTGCAAGACTTTTTTTTTTAATGTTTCATAAAGATTTTAGTAATCAACCGTTCCTGCGATTTTTTTTCCTCTTAACACTGCTGCCTTCATTTGAGTTTGAAAACCCATGGACCAGTTGGAAGAGGGTTGAATGAGGTTTATCTTTGAACAGTACTCTCATTTCTCCAGATGATGTCACCTACACTCCTGGACATAATGATTAACCAAGATGGGTCATAAGTTACTAAGCCAACTTCTTAGGAAAGTTCACCTTTAAGGTTGTGATTACCTGCTGGGATAGTGTCTTCAGGTTTCCTTTCCCCCTACAAATTTGCTTCAAATCTGGTGGCTAGGAATTCATTACTTGAACTGGGGAGTGAAATTGCAGGGCCCATCTGTCTGCAATGCCAGAGACCCCGGTTTGATCCCTGGGTCAGGAAGATCCCCTGGAGAATGAAATGGCAGCTCAAGCCCTAAGTCCCATGGACAGAGGGGCCTGGAAGGCTACAGCCCATGAGCGACTTAAATTTCAGTTTGAATGGTCAAAGTGTTCAGGCTTCTCTGTCCATGAAAATTTTCAGGCAATACTGGAGCAGATTGCCATTTCCTCTTTCAGGGGATTTCCCCCTCCCAGACATCAAATCACCTCCTGTATTGGCAGGCAGATTCTCTTACCACTGTGCCACCTGGGAAGGTAGCAGTGTTGGAACCAGCTTATTTTAGACCAAAAAGGCCTAGACTGTTTGAGGTACAAGATGGTGCCATGTATGTACCAATGCCACCTCTTAAGAAAATGTTAAAACTAAAGTACATAAATTATATTAAACCAAGTGCATGAGTCTTATTTACATATAGGAAATGGTAATTCAGAAAACTAGCCTATGAGATTATCAACCATCACCAAACCACATCTTGATGACTGTCACACACATCTCTGCTGTGTTTTCCAAATAGGAAATCCCATTGACCAGGGCCCTCCTGAAATTATGCCAAAGATTGCTTCCCTAGTTTTGTGTAGACCTGAGGAGTGGCAGAGTATGTACCCTTCAAAAGATCATTAAGCACCAGTCTTGGGCTCAGCCTGAATTCTCACTCACCAAGAGTAATATAATTGCAATTATAGAAGTGATCCATTTTATCACTTTCTGAGATCAATCTTCAGAGATTGAGACTCTTAATTCATCTGGGTCTTATGGAGTATTTAAATGAGAATAAGCAAGCCATAAATTGAAAACATCAAGAAACTGACAAACATACAACCATCAATCTTTTATTGGTCATTTATATGCCAGGTAGCAGCATCACCAAAAACAAAACAGCTGTTTCCACCTGAAAGCGCCCCGTCTCTTCATTTGCCTTTTGTTTCTCTCCTGGAAAGGAAGTATAAGCCAGTGTGTTAGTAACGCCCCAATTTATCCGTGCCCCTCCAGGTTTTCCCAAGAGCTGGTCTCAGTCCCATATCCGCATTTATCATCCACAGATGTCCACTTAGATTAGGTTTCATCCTAGACCAGTCACAGGCTGAAAAAATACCAAGCCAGACAGAACTACCCAATCGTCTCCCACTGAAAGGAGGGGTGGGGGAGTCCATGGCTACCCAAAACCACTGAGCAGGAGCAGCAGTCGGCCGGCCCTCAGTCCTCAAGGTAAAGGCCTAACAGCTGCTACATTCTACTCTGGATGTGCTCTTGGCCTTAGTGCAGGCAAAATCTAGCAGACCAAGTCACAAAGTAAATGTTTTTTTTGTCATCTGGTTATGAACAGCCAATAAATGCAGCTTCCAAGGAAAGCCAGATGTAAGTGATACACTATAAATACAGAACTTTTCCACACTGAGTATCTTTATCTATTGGCTACACTACTTACAGTCTTAAGCTAAGTACAAATGGAAGTTGTGATAAAGCTTCAGCTAGACATTCAACTCACCCAACTCTGTAGATCCACACAGATGAAGACAGCTTTACTGGCAACAGGTCTTAGGGGGAGAAAAATATCAATCAGGAGGCAAGAAAGCTATTGGTATATCCCTCCCAAATACAAAAATCTCAGCCAGCAATTACTATACCAACTGCCAGTTTCATATATAGTTTCCCTTTAAGCCTAAAATTACCCCACTGTAAGGGGCAGAGAAAACAAGTTCCAAGAGAATTCAGCCTTGTCTGAAACTAGCCCACATGCTATACAGCACACACGACGAGCACAGTTTCAGTACTACTATTCCTCCTCTTACGACCACCGAGACCAGGGTTTAGATCCGATGGGAAAGGGAACTGGAGGGTCAGGCTGTCTCCAATACCCAACTTTACCTTATTCTGAAAGCACGGCTCCAGCGACAAGCTGATATGTTCAGTTACTTCAGTATCAGGCACTGCCAGTTAAAAAACGGGGGGTAACCTGCAAAAAAGAGTGTGGAAGCTCTAACAAAAAACCTAATCTACACAGAATGTGATTTTGATGGGAACACATGGATTCAAGTGGAAGAATTCCAGCCCAAATCCTGAGAGATTATAGGAAAGGCGAGTGGCAGCTGCAGGTATTACGCTGACCTGTGCTGTCAAAGTCTCTCCATGTTGCTCTCGCATGCAGTTGGAGATCCCATGGCCACAAGAAGCCACAGCCCTTGGAAACATGCTGTGCTGACCCACTAGGTGGCTCCTAAGTTACATCTTTAGAGAACCTACCAGGCCCTGAGGCTTGTGTTCCATCACTGTCATGTCCTCTTCACTCACCAGAAAGGTCAACTTCAGCCATCCTGGAATCTTCTGGCACAACTAAAATGAGAACAGCATTGTCCTGAATGACCTACTCCTTCCAATCATCTGGTTTTCAGAATCAAGGTTTTTGACTCGCCTTTAGACTGATGCCTTAAGCTTTTCAGGGCAAAGACCCACAGCATGGCCACATTCTGCACCACTTGCCCCTGGATTTCCCCAGCACAGGTATCTAACCCACCCAATATGTGCATCTCCATACTGGTTCTTGGCCTCTGCAAGCCACTTCTCAAAAGCCTTATTCTTGCATGTAAGACCCCACCAATGAAACATTTCTGGTGGCCTCTGAAAACGCTGTCAATTCTAATAAAGGTCTCTGGTTGTACCTGAGAAATGGCAAGTACAATGGGAACTGTCTTTTCCTGAAATGTTGCAGATCAGTTACAGCAAACAGAACGGCGACCGTCAAGGAAAACTGTCACTTTGGGCTCCTTTTTGACCACAGCAGCTATATGGAAGCAGCGGCAGCTTCGATAAGGGCCACGGGGGGACGGGGATCTAGGTCACAGTGCAGACCCAACACTGCAGCCCTCAGACTCACCTAAATCCTGTGAGATGTCATCTACTGGGACATTTTGGAAACTAAAAGAAAACAGACATCCTATAAATTCTGATCACCACCACCTTTTACTATGTGCCAGTGATGTGTCTCATTTTATCGCCACAGGATCGTTTTATCAACCCCGTCTTACACCAGAGTTAGACTTGTTACTTGCCAAAGTCCCCTATCAATGGAGAAAGTGACAACCTTGGGATTCAAAATAGGATCTGAATGACTATAGCCCGTCCTCCAGAAAACCTTGTCCTTATACCCACCAGGGTGACTTCCTTATCACGTGTTGTGCAGCCAGATAATTTTGGAGAAGGTAGGCAAGTTAACATGCCCAAGGTCACGGAGCAACTGTCAGGCGTATTCAAGGTCTGGCTGATCCCACCACGGGGTCTCCCCTAACTTAAGCCACTTCAGTCCCAGAAACGCCGCACACCTGACCGCCTGCCCATGTTACTCACCCGTCACACCGGAGCACAGGGCCGCGAGGGCAGCGGCGGGAGCAGGGCGTGGCCCACACAGGGTCCGGCTTCTTCCACTGCGCCTGAGAACCACGTGGCCTTCCGGATCTCGGCCCGACTAGGCCAGTAGGCCTGGACCCTCCGTGCCGCGCTCAACATCCCGCCGCCTCTAGAGGCAGCCCCGGCAGGTGCGGCGCCCGTGGCAACCAGGCTAAGACCGGGTATGGCGGAGGATGGGCGTGGACCACTGCAGACAGAGAATCCAAGACACACAAGACAACCTACGCGCGGCTGCCGGGAAAAAGGACGACTGTGGGTCGGGAAGGGGTTTATATAGGCCCCGCCCCTCGAAGCTGTGCCTGACGATTGGAGCAGCTTACTGCGCGGAATGATGGGAGTTGTAGTTCGTTCGCCTCCGGCGAGCGGCCGACTGTCTGACTCGCAGTCCCGATCGCTTGTGGTGTTGGGACCCTTTTCACTCGGTTGGAGGAAACTTGTGTAAGTGATTTCTGCAGGATCCGAGGAGATTCCTCCACCATCATTTAGCACTCAGTGAACGTCCAGTAACCCAGGACGAAGCTCATAAATATCACTGACTTTCAAAATCGGGAAGTTAACTTTTAACCCAGTGAGGTGAGCCAGGGATTTTGGTTCAAACCGCCTGAAAGCACATCGAGGAGCGTAGACTGAGCAGGATTTCGGCGGAGGGATCTGGGGGCGGGCTTCCTTTCCAAAAGGAAGAGGTGACTGATTACAGAACTCATTAGAAGAATGCATTCTTTGTTCGGGCTTATCTCTTCGGCTAATCGATAAAAAAACTACTGAGTGCTTACTAAGTACATTATGCTCGATTATCTCAGCTAGTTTTCAAAATAACCCTGTGTATGGGAATTACAATTATGCCTCTTTTGCAGATAAGGAAACAGAAATGGCTTACACAGATAGCAAGCGAGTTAAGACCTGAAATGCGGAAGTTCACCTCATAGACCACATTCATAATCACTGTGCCATGTACAAGTTTTATCCATAGAATGAATAAGCATCACTATATATATATATATATAAAGTAGTAAGACTCTGAGGCCTCAATACAGGGGCCCCAGGTTCCATCCCTGTCAGGGAACTAGATCCCACATGCTGCAACTAAAGATCCCACCTGTGGCAACTAATACCCAGGCGTCCACGCTCAGCCACTCTGACCCAGGCTCCTCTGTCCATGGGATTTTCCAGGCAAGAATACTAGAGTGTGTTGCTATTTCCTCCTCCAAGGTTGAACCCCTGTCTCCTGCATCTCCTGCATTGGCAAATGTGTTCTTTACCACTGAGGCATCTGAGAAGCCCAAGATTCAGGCAGCCAAATAAATAATTTTTTTTATTTCCATTATATATTTTAATAAGAGACAAATTGGGAGAGAATAGTTGCAAAACACTGAATGCACTGAATAGGGGCCTTGCATCTAGAACATAAAGAAGTCTTTTTTTGTTTGTTTTTGTTTTAGAACATAACTCCTAAGGAACTACCCTGGTGGTGCAGTGGTTAGGAATTTGCCTGCCAGTGTGGGGAACAGGGATTCTGTCCCTGGTCCACGAGGACCCCCCATGACGCTGAACAGCTAGGCCGGTGGGCCACAACTACGGAGCCTGTGCTCTGAAACCGGCGTGAGCCACACCTATGGAACCCATGTGCTGCAGCTACTGAAGCCTGAGCTAGAACCTGTGCTCTGCCACAAGAGAAGCCACCGCAACGAGAAACCTATAAGTAAATAAATGGCTCTTAAAACTCAACAGTAAAAAGTAAAACCACTCTATTTTTAACAAGGGGGAAAAGAAGGGGGGTGACAAAATTTGAAAGACACCTCACCAAAGAAGATAAACAGATGACAAATAAACACATGAATGATGCTCACTATCATAACACTACAAACACAGTGGAAGGGCTAAAAGTTAAAAAGATTGACAATATCAAACAACGAAGGAAAAGTAGAGCACGTGGAAATTTCATACAATATTCAGGACTGTAAAATGGTGCAACGACTTTGGAAAATGATTTTGCAGTTTTTAAATAAGTAAAAATGCACCTACTATCCAACCCAGCTGTGTCAGCACTAGGTATTTTCCAAGAGAAATGAAAAGCATACATCCACACAAAGACTTGAATATGAATGTTCGTAGCAGTTGTATTTGTAATAGCCAAAGACTGAATATGACACAAATATCCTTCAACAGGGATTGGATAAACAAATTGTGTATATTAATACAGTGAAATACTATCATGCTGAGTGAAAGAAGCCAGACTATATACTATATGATAAATATTCTAGAAAATGCAAACTCATCTTTAGTGGCAGAAAGCAGATTGATGGTTGTCTGGGAGAGGAGGTTAGGAGTGAAGAATTAAAGAAGGACATGGAAAAAAAAAACAAGAAGGACATGGAGAAACTTTTGAGACTAATAGAGATGTGCATTATCTCAATGTGGTGGCTTTGTGGGTGTACACTTATGTCAAAATGCATATTGTACATTTTTAATATGTGCAGTTTACTATGTATCAATTACATTTTAATAAAAATGCTAAAAACAAAAAAGTAAGCAAGAGAAAATTCAGATCATGTAATTCACCTGCCCCACAATCACTGACTTCTCAACACATTTGGAATAAAGCTCAGTACCCTCAATGGCCTCTGAAGCCACAGGTGATTTGGCGGCTCCTCCTCTTTGCTTTCATTACCTGATCCCTGGTCTAGGAGGATCCCACATGCGGCAGAGCAGCTAGGCCCCCCGTGGTACAACTGCTGAAGTCCACACGTCCTAGAACCCACGCGGTGCAACAAAAGAAGCCACTGCAATGAGAAGCCCACACACTGCAATGAAGAGTAGCCGCCGCTCACCGAAGCTAGAGAAAGCCCAAGCAGCAACAAAGACCCAGAGCAGCCAATAAATAAATAAATTTTAACAATTAAATTTAAGAAATTAAATAGAACTAAGATCTGATAGCTGGTGGGAAGCTGCTGGGTCGCACAGGGAGCTCAGCTGGTTGCTCTGTGATGACATAGAGGGTGAGATCGGGGCGGGAGGGGAGAGCTGTATACATGGAGCTGATACACTTTGCTGTACAGCAGAAACACAACATTGTCAAGCAATTATATTCCAATAATAAAATTCATTAATTACAAAATAAAGGAAAAAGCAAAAAACTAGGATCTGTCTAATGCAAACGTGCACCTGCTATGACACACAGTTACCCCGGAACTGCCCCGTGTGGCGGCTGCCATGATCTATCTGTCTCACTTCGAAGAAGGGAAGCAGGGCTGGGGAGGAGAAATGACTCGCCCCTTGGGGAGTCACATAGGCAGTCTGTGACAAAGTCAGCTGACAGCTGGATTCCAGTGCCAGATGCAGTCAGGGGCAGACACATGACCCCAGCCCACAGCAGGAACATCTAGGAGAGGAAGTTCAAGGAATCTGATGCTGACAGTGCACTCTGCCCACATGCTGACCACAAAGGCTTCTGGGATGTCTGGGTTCAAACTCCTTTCAGGCTGTTCCATGCCTCTCTGCCTTCACCCACTGCCCCTGCCCAAGTGCCCTTTCTCGATCACCTCTCCAGCTCCCACTGTCCTTGGAGACGCAGCTTCAGCTTCACCTTCTCCAAGAGGTCTTTTCTAACCCCGTGGCTCCCTGAGTCCAACTCTGTTGTGGTATTTGAATGAATAATGAGTGAATGAATAAATGAATAGCACATCCACTTTTATTCATTCATTCAGCCAGAAATATTTACTGAGCCAAGCACTGAGGATACAGCCACTGGTCCTTGTCCTCAAGGGGCCTGAGTCTAGAAGGGAGACAGACATCACAAAGGACAAAAGGGCCTGTGACCTCACTAGCCAGTCAATGAGGGGCTTCTTGAAGACATAGATCTAACCTGAGGCCTAAAATCGGGGTTAGTTACCCTTTGAAGAGCAGAAGGGGGGTGTTCTTGGCATTGGGCTGCTAAGAGGAAAAATGTTCAGCACGGCTGGAGCACCAGTGGTGGGTAAAGACAGGAGAGGGTGGAATGAGGGGAGACGGTTCTGCACAGGCCTGATGCAAAAACTGTTTTTCCAGCTGAACAGAGCAAGGTGATGAGAGCGTCCTGATGGAAACCTCAGAGGGGCAGGTGGGAATGGGGCAGACTCTCCTGGTTTGGATAGAACTGGCAGGGAGGATCCTCAACACCATACACCCTACCTGATTTTCCTTTCTCTCCTGGAGTGGGGGTGAGCCGAGACTTGGGCCCCTTCAGGCTAGTGCAGTGACCAAAGGGCAGAATTACTAGAAGGCTTAACAAAATGGCTCCTCACTGATTTATTTAGGAAATCTGGGCCTTCCCAGGTCCTCAAACTGTCCAGCCAGAAACAAATTTGGCCACCACTCTGTCTTCTGTGCTGAATGATCTTGGGCTGGTTACTTAATTTCTGTGAACCTCAGTTTTCTCATCTGTAAAAAGCTGGGCAGATTAACACCTACTCACAAGGTTGTGTAAGGAGGAAATGTGACGATATGATGGTTTGCCTTAGTGAGAACTGCTTCCCACTGCCAACCTGTTAAACTGCAACATCTACCCACTGTGGGTTAGTGAGATTAAACCACCAGACAAGCTGTTTGGGACCAACCTCGAGCCTTGATGTTCTGGGTGTTCAGAAGATCAGACTGGAAAGAGTGGAGGAGATCTTGAATGCCGGTGCATCTGCCTTACCGTGCCCCTGACCCACTTTGTCCTGGTCCTTTGGGAACTTGCTTTCCAGTCCCCTTCTGTGGTATCAAGGGTGAGCCACACGTGTCAGATGTGTGACAGCCACACATCTGAGCCTCAGTCTCCTGAGCTCTAAAATGGGCACACGATAGCCTTCTCAGAGGGTTGCTGTCCCAAAGCATAAGAAACTGACCATCTCACCTCATAAACCTTAGCTGTCCAGTCCACAAGCCAACTGTACCCTCTGGAATTGCAGTTGTCTGTCTACCCTGCCCCTCTACCTGACTGTGTCCAAGTCTCTCTCTCGACCCTGGGGCCCAGCGCAGGCAGGCAGGGTGGAAGCAGTGGGGCCTGCTGAACTGTTGAACCTGAACACTGAGCAGGGCCAGTAGGGCTCCAGGAAAGGGGCATCTGGGTGAGCAAAGTGCATCTATAAACCATCAACCTTCTCCAGGTCCAGCAGCAGGGGCGCAACAGGAGGACTAACAGAGAGTGGGGCTGCAGAGAGAAATCGCCCCAAAGAATGAATGCAGTGGTCGCTCCGGCGCAGTCAGTCAGTCTCAGGCCAGGGCACGCTGGGTGTGGTGATCGGTCCTCTGTAGCCCTCCTCCCCACATTATCTAGTTTAATCTCTTCTTCCTTGAAGTAGAGATGATTATCTCCACTTTACAGAGGAGAAAACTGAGGCCCGGAGCGAGGAAGTGACCTGTCCAGGTGTTTCCATCGGGCCAGGTGGTTTCCTCGGCGAACCGTTCGGCGTTGCTGAAGACGCCCCTGGTTCTCCAGGCCCGGGTGTGGGTGTCTCTGGGGCCTCCCGGAGACTGGGGGGCGGGGCCCAGAGACGGGGCGTGGGCGTGGCTGCGACTGCGGGGCGGGGGCGGGGGCGGGGGCGCACAGTTGGCAGTCTGGCCTCGGGAGGCGAGACGCTGGCCATGGAGGCAGGGGGCTGTCGCTACCAGTTTCGGATCGCGCTGCTGGGGGACGCGGCCGTGGGCAAGACGTCGCTGCTGCGGTGCTACATGAGGGGTGCGCCCGGGATCCCCGAGACCGAGCTACAGCTCGAGTCGGCGCCCACGGTGGGCGTCGAGTTCTATACCCGCACTGTGCAGCTTCAGGCCGGGCCGCGCGTCAAGCTGCAGCTCTGGGACACGGCGGGCCAGGAGCGCTTCAGGTGCGCGGTGGGTGGGAGGTGGGCAGGGGAGGGACGAGAAGGGTTTGGGGTGAGGGGTTTCTGGTTGGGGCGGGGTGACCATGGGGATCCCTCAGAGTCGCCGCCCTCAGTGGCCAAGTAGAGATCTGGGGGGTCCTTGCCCTGGGCCCGGGTCCTTCACGCTTGAGTCATTCATCCTACAAGTAACAGCTGGTGGGCTGAGCCCCTGAGCTTGATGCCTGAGACCTGGCCCGGCTGGCCCCAGTGGAATATTCGACATTGAAACCTAGAGGGATGAATGACCTGGGTGCTGAGAGGGCCCACAGAAGCGCAGAGAGGGAGGTGTCAGGGAGCGGTGGAAAGAGGAGATATTTGTGTTGGCTGTGAAGGATGCGTAGGAGTTTGCCAGGGAGAGAACTGGGAAACCTGTGATCAGGAAAACATCAGGTTTTCTCCAGAAATGGTCAGGGGAGTCTGGGAATCAAACTGCTCCCTGACTGAGGAACACACAGTAACTTGGGAGAGACACAGACCCGGGCAAAGGGAAGCAGAGGGTGGTGTGAAATGAGCTGAAATGGGGGTGTGAGGCAGTCGCTGGATGGAGGGGGATGCAGGACCCGGCGTGTTGAAGGCGTAACCCTCTCTCACCGTACTCCCTTCACCATCAGGTGCATCACCAGGTCCTTTTACCGGAATGTGGTGGGTGTCCTGCTGGTCTTTGATGTGACAAACAGGAAGTCCTTTGAGCACATTCGAGACTGGCATCAGGAGGTCATGGCCACTCAGGGCCCCGACAAGGCGATCTTCCTGCTAATTGGCCACAAGAGTGACCTGCAGAGTGCCCGTTGTGTCTCAACCCAGGAGGCGGAGGAGCTGGCTGCCTCCTTGGGCATGGGCTTTATGGAGACCTCCACCAAAAGTAACTGCAATGTGGACCTGGCCTTCGACACCCTTGCCAACACCATCCAGCAGGCCTTGTGGCAGGGGGACATCAAACTGGAGGAGGACTGGGGGGGTGTGCGTCTCATCCAGAACACCCAGAGCTCCAGACTGCCCAGCAGGATACAGCACCCGGGCCCATGCAGGTGTTGACTCTAGGAGGGAAAGGGTTAACGCAGAGCTGGTGGGATGGGGAGTGTTAGTATCTCTCTGGAGGCCAAATGGCAGAATCTATTCACAGAGTTATTACAAACCATATCCTGGCACAGTCATGCCTCCTGGATTTTGGGGTCTTGGAGCTCAGCCCCTTTTCCACCAGAAAGGTCTAAGAGGCCAGGTGTGCAGCTTCCTGTCCTGGAGACTGTTTCCTCTGTGGTCAGAGGAGCTCGTAACAGACCCCACTCATGGGGGGTTGTGGGCATGACTGAGATCATGGATGCGCTATGCTCAGCCAGAGCCAGAGCCTCCCACACAGTGAAAATCGAATAACAAGAACTGTCATCGCTGCTGCTCTTTCCTCTCTTGGCCAGGACATGGCCATTTCAGGCAGCGTCCCTGGGCTCGGACGCCGAGCCGCTCAGCGTGTGGACGCTGCTACAGGCGAGGAGGGGGGCAGGGGCTTTCAGGCTGAGCCAGGTCTTCAGGCTTGGATGAGAAAGTGTGCCTTCAAACCCGGATTGCTGCCCAGTGCTCCTACTCCAAGGCCACGGGTCGGAGAGGCAGGGATGAATATGAACAGCTCTCTGGCTGGGCGCATGGTGGACACTTGGTTAGCCACCAAAATCTCCCCCCAGGGCTGAAGAACCCATGGCCTCCTCCCCACCAGAGCTCCTAGCTGCTGGGAGTGCTATGTGGTGGTGGAGCCCAGGTTGCTCTCTGGGAACTGCCTGCTCATCTGGGGCAGCCCAGTCCAGCATCAATGTATCAGATCTGTTGGTGGGGCGGGGGGGAGTGTTCAAAGGCCTGGCCTTCTTGCCTCAACTGTAGACAACTCTGAAGGAAACACCCATCTTCATCACTCTCCATGAGGTCCACTGAGGCCACCTTTAGGACAGCATCACAGCTACATTCTCCTGCTCAATCCTGCTTTCTTCCCTTCCTCCCCCACCCAGCAGGTATTGATCTCAAGAAACTCCTAATAGGGACTTCCCTGGTGGTTCAGTGGCTAAGAGCCTGAGCTTCTGATGCAGGGGGCCTCATTTCGATCCCTGCTCAGGGAACTAGATCCCACATGCTGCCATGAAGATCGAAGATCCTAAGTGCCACAATTAAGACTTGGTGCAGTCAAGTAAATATTTTTTTAAGAAAGAATTTCGTAATAAAAGTCTGCACAAAAATACAAGGGGGAAAAAACATCTGCACCCTTGGTATTCCCTGGCGGTCCCATGGTTAGCATTCTGTGATCTCAAAGCCAAGAGCCCAGATTCAGTCCCTGGTTGGGGAACTGGAGATCCCACAGTCTGCATGGTGTGGAAAAAAAATTATATATAAAAGTCTAGGGGACTTCCTTCGTGGTCCAGGGGCTAAGACTCTGAGCGCCCAATGCAGGGGGCCCGGGTTCGATCCCTGCTCAGGGAACAATTACTCACATGCTGGAACTAAAGATCTCACATGCCACAATGAAGACTGAAGATCCTGCCTGCTGCAACTAAGACCTGGTGCAGCCAAACAAGTAAATACTAAAAAAATAAAAGTCTGCACACTGATTTTGTTCTCAAAATCTGGCTGCTGGGGAACTTAACCTGCAACAGAAGCTGCTAGGCGCAAAATATCCAGTGGCAATGCAGGAAGGCTTTATGGAGAGAGGGATCTTTACACTTCACTGAAGGCAGAAGAGGGTGACAGAGGGTGAGATGGCTGGATGGTATCACTGACTCAATGGACACGAACGTGGGCAAGCTCCGGGAGACTGACGGACGGGGAAGCCTGGCGTGCTGTGGTCCATGGGGTCGCAGTGAGCTGGACCTGGTGACTGAACAGCAACACAGCAGGTGTCAAGGGGATATCTGGGCGGTCTCATTGTGCCAGTGGGCACGGGCAGGGCAGGGCAGGGCAGTTGCCATAGCAAAAATAGCAGAGCCCCTTTACTCACTTTGTGACCTGGGACCAGTTACTCGACCTTGTTGAGTCTCGGATTCCTCCTCAGTAAGCTGTCACTGAAAACCTCTCCTTCCTCGGGGTCTTGGGAAGTTTCACTCGGGTGATTTTTAGCTTCCTCGCCTTGGCACCTGGGCCAGGAGCAACCTCTCTGTGCTCAACTTCCTCCCTGCCTTCTCTTTTCAAAACATCACTCATTCTTCTGACCATCCTGCAAGGTTGGCGCGACTGTATTCATTTCGTAGATGAGAAAGTGTAGACGAGAGGAAATAATTTGCTTTAGAGTTATTATCATCCCTTCATCAAAAATGTCTTAAAATGAGCATCTATTCTGATCTAGGCTCCAGGAATACAGCAGTGAACAGGACAGAAAAGCAGTCCTAGGGCTGACATTCCAGTGGAAGAGAAAAAAACTAGGAAGTGGGACTAAATGAGTCTTAGCTGTAAGTGCTATAAAGACCACAGATCCAAGAGATGGGCCTGAGGGTGATGGGGGCTCGTTTAGAGCAGATGGTCAAGGAGGGCCTCTCTCAGGAGATGGCCTTTGATTTGAGAACCTAGATGAGGAGGAAGAACCAAGCTAAGAGCAGAGATCTGGGCAGAAGGAACGGTGTCCAGCTCTGATTGGGCGCTTCATATGTACCACTTGCCAACCAGTTTGCCATTGCTGTCTCAGTGCAGCACCCCCTCCCGTCCTGGCCTCCAATCTTTAGTGTAGATTGTATCACCCATCTTGAGGGTCTCAGGCTCGCTGGGTATGATTTAGCATCCACACTGCCCCAGGGGATCTTTTTAAAATACAGATTTAACCTGGCTGCTCCACTCCTAGAATCCCTCCCTGGCTCCCCATTGCCTGCAGGGTAAAATCCAAACCCTTTCCCCCCAAGTCCAGTCTGATCTGGTCCAATGGCATCTCCACCTGCTTTGCCCAAGTTCCCAACCACCTAGCCCTGGGCTTTGCACATGCTGTTCCCTTTGCTTGGAAGACCCTAGCACTTTACTCCCTCCCTGTGTTATCTGATCAGCCTGCAACACTCAGAATAATATGCCCTCCTCTTAACCACTGCATTATCCCAGCTGCCAAAAATAGGGTCAAACCTGGGTTTGAATCTCAGCTCTGCTATATACAATTGTGGGACCCTGGGGAACTCATTTCATCTAAGCCTCAGTGGACTCATCTGTAAGATGGGGATACTACTTCCTAACTCACCAGTTTTAGAAAGGATCAAATAACAAATCAAAGGCAGTACTCCTCACTAGGCTCTAGGAGTTCAGAAGGTGGATGTCCACTTCTTCCCCTGAGGGTTTTGCTCTTATGACTGTTAGGGAACAGAGGCTACTAAAGTATATACTTTAGGGAAATAATTCCAAATGCTAACAAAGTTCTTAAAGGTCCTAACCCCTTGCAGAGATATGGGTTGGGCTCCCCACAGGCTCCTTGGCCTCCAAGCCTCTCCTCATGGTAAAATGAGAATGATTCCTACCTCACAGTTTTGTTAGAGGATTAATTATGACGTGGATTGTTAGGTTACTTAACACTTAATAAATGTTAGGTTACTTCTGCCAACAAGCCTCCTCTGGGTCTTTTGTGTGTGACTCCCTTGCCT